TTTGTATTTTGAAACACATTCCAGATTTATATTCTGAAATGTGAATATCTGTTTTACATGTCTGCCTGCCTTGTTGAAAATCAGCACCTTTGTCTTATTAGTATTCACATTGAGACACCAATCTTTGCAAAATTTATCAAGCATTCCCAGCTTTTCTCGTAGTCCTTCAGCTGATGTAGATAATAAAACAATATCATCAGCATACATTAAACAATGTAGATCTTTGTCATTGACATTAACTGGGTCTCTAGTATCTGACAAATATCTGGGCAAATCATTTATGAATATCTTGAATAAATTCGGACTGAGGTTGTCACCTTGTTTGACTCCAATATCTAATGGGAAAAAATCACTTACTTGATTTTGAATTTTGACACATGATTTGCTAATTTCATACATACCTTTAATAATGTTATAAAAATAAGACCCAGCCCCAATATCTAGTAGTTTAATCTTGATCCCTGTATGTATAACAGTATCAAAAGCCTTCTGAAAATCAACAAAACAGGCAAACAGTCTACCTTCTTTTGAATTACAGTATTTGTTAATAAGACAGTTTAAAATAAACATATGATCTGCAGTTCTGGCTTTCCTTGTGAATCCAATTTGACTATCATGTATAATATAATAATCTATGATTTTGAAAGAGTGTATACACGTATTAAATTAGATATAGATTTAATTCCTCAGAAACGACCTTTTGAAGGTGTTTAGTTCATATAGTTCAAGTGTCAACACCTCAGTCTCAGTCAGTGCAGTCAGTGGCGGATCGGGGGGGGGGGGGGGGGGGGGGGGTTTCCGGGGGTTGGAACCCCCCTATTTTTTTAACGATCAATGCATTTGAATGGGGACATATAGTTGGAACCCCCCCTTTATCCTGGGTTAGGAACCCCCCTTTTATAAATGGCTGGATCGCCCCTGCTCAGTTATGTTTTTCTCTCACTGATAAAGTTAACAGGTCTAGCTGTTTTTGAATTTTCAATCTTTAAACTGGTCTGAATTTGTTAGTGTAATAGTCCCAGCTCTCAGAGAGCAAACTCTATGAAAAAAATCCTAATACAGGTGCATTTCAACTGTTTAATATCGTGCATGAACAATATTTCAGATTAACAGAGACATACAATACAATTTTATATGTCTCTGTTATTAGGTAGCGTTTCAAAACAGTTAAATTTAAAATAAGTTTCTGAACATAAGTACATAATATGCCTTTTATACAAAAACTATAATTACTAAAATCCATCAATTTAAACGAATTTTGTAATGGTTTAACAATAAATCAAACAGTGAAATAGTGGGTTTGTCTAATCTGTCGCCGTGAACCATTCAGTGATCGACATCATTCCGAAATTGAAAGTGTAACAGTGGTTTGATTCCGCCAGTGTAGTTTATCCGGAGGAAGAAAATCCCCAGTGATTTTTATCCACCAACGAAAATTCACTAGGTTTTTCTATCCGGGTCCAGTGTAAAACATCCACCAGTCATTATAAGGTTCTTAAAAGGTTTTTTTGAAGGGGAAATATATATAAAATGTGGCTTTATAGTTTTTAGTGTATTTGAAACTTGCATAGTTGATTTATGTAAAAAGTGGAGAGTTTTCATCTAAGGAATGTTCACACTGGTGTTTTTAAACAAGGAATGATTACACTAGTGATTTTGTACCGGAATGATTGCACTAGTTATTTTATACCGGGTTTAATTACACTAGTGCTTTAGATCCATACATTAATTGCTGAAGCGATTAGTACTCATTTGAACACACGATAACACAATAATGCTTATCAACGAATAAGATTTAAATAATTTTTCTATGCAAATCTATAAAATCATAGCTTTTAAATTGTCACTAATTATAATATTTATATTTATTGGATTGCCGAAGTTTTTCTGTGTATTTCCTTTTCGGTCGACTTGGATATAAAATCATATCTTCTATGTCAATATCAAAGGATGCTTCGATAATTGAAACTTTATGTAAGAACAAATCTGCTCTTTAAATTTGGTTTATATCAAGTTCAATGGCCTGATCATTGATACAGTATTTTGAGTTATAAAAACATCCTCCTCATCATCATCAATATTATTTACTAGATTGACTCAGATTAATTAAACTGGTTCCTTGAAAATCGTTTTAATTTTAACCCATTTATTTATGTAAACAATAAACCGGTTTAATATAAACTAAACAACGATATCAAGATCGACGCTTTCACACTATTTACATCCAATATTCTCTAGTGAAAAACAGTTACCCGGAATAAATACACGGCGGAATGAAAGTACGCTTACAAAAGCAAGGCATAACCGTCAGTGCTTCAGGACTTATTAAATTCCCACCATATATTTTGGTTTGTTGACTCTAGAGCTTCCAAGTACAAGCAAGGATCTAAGATACTGGATACTGTAACCAAGTTCTACCATTTTATCACTAATATAATATAATTCAAGCGACTGTGGTAAATGACTGATTCTAACATGACGTTCTTCAAACGCTTTGAGTACACACCCGTGGTAAAATATGAATATATTGTTTGGGCTGTTCCGATCGTACTCCCGCGTCATATGCTTTTTTATGAATGAGCTACCCGACGTCATAGAACGATGACGTAAGAATATAAGTATTTTACGGGAAAATACACGCTTGTGAAACCGAAAATCATCACAACAAGGAAACGTAAACAAACGATGCTAAAATGTGTTATATTAGCCATTTTTTGTTTCCATATAAGATATATAAATACAATTATCATTTAGATTCATTCAAACCTATCTAAATATGTCATTGTAAATAGTTTAATCATGCCATTTATTCAGTTTGCTCCGTTCTTTTACGTCAATTAATAGTGAGTTTATTTATGGGAACGGCAAATAATGCCTTCACCTAGAGCGCTTCGATCCAAAAGAATTGCCGTATTTGTCCTATTAGAATCGAAATAATTCATGGGGGCTTGAATATATCGTGATTTTACCACGGGTTGTCCCTTTATGCCGATATTTTACCCCTCGCTATCGCTCAGGGTAAAATATTTGTCATAAAGGGAAATTTCAAGGAGATGAGATTGGAACTAAAACATGTGAAAATGCACCCTTTTCACTTCACATGCTAGTTATTATTCATTATCTACTCTTTGAATACTAAATGACTGTCTTACTTTGCATGTCTAATATGTATGTTTTTATAGACAATATTGTATAATAATTTTCTTAAATTGTTTAACATTTCATAGCGGTATAACATGTTACTTTTATTATTCTTCCCTTAGTTTGTTTATTTTGTATTTACATTATATCATAGGTCAAATTTAATTGTTCAGTGTATGTTCACTGGTGTTAATGTAAATGCTCTTTTGTTCCGACGTTGGAAAGTTCCGGGCGGAAAGAACTAACTAGCAGAAAAGTTCAGGAGGAACTTATTAACTAGTTACTTTGTTCTTCCTCTGGTTTAAAAGTTCCACCGGAACAAAGTGACTAGTTGAAAAGTTCAAACGGAACATATCAACTAGTTAGAAAGTTCCTTTTTGCCAAATTTAGTCAAAACCGGAACTAACAAACTAGCCCAAAAGTTCCAACGGAACTTATCAACCAGGCAGAAAGTTCCATTTGGAGAATTGATGCAAAGTAAAAGCGCAACATATTATATTTGAAACTTTCAAAGGGAAACCAAGATACTGATTACAAAAGTCAAAAGGAACGTATCAACTAGCCACAAAGTTCCTCTTTGGCAAATAAGTCAAAACCGGAAGTAACAAACTAGCCCAAAAGTTCCAACGGAACTTATCAACCAGTCACAAAGTTCCATTTGGAGAATTGATGCAAAGAACCACATGAGGAGGGGGATATTCTTCCCTCTCTTGAGGGTACTATGAATACTAGATTTGCATGATAACGCAACTTATTCCGTTTTATGTGAGCAATGAAATACAACTTAAATTTTGCATATTTGTCCCCAAAGAAACCCCTTTCAGTGCGTTGGGTATTCTTGTAAATTAATGATTTGCTCTTATATATACTGATATATTCTTCCCCCTCTTTCTACAAAAAGGACGAAATATGGTATATTCGGAACGATGTAACTAGTTGTTCTGTTCCGCTTGAACTATTCAACCAGCTACATTGTTCCGGGACTTTTCAACTAGCTACTTTTTTCCGGAACTTTTCGACTGCACTCGGAATAAAACAACTTGTTGGAAAGTTCCATCGGAACGAAATAACTAGTTGAAAAGTTCCGCCAGAACAAAGTAACTGACAGAACATAGTGGCTGTTACATTAATATGTCCTTTGATTGAGTTAAGCTATTTCAGTTGATATTTTATAGTGTGTCTTTCTATGTTGTGATGTTACACTTAATTGTTTCAGAAAAAGGGTGAAGGTTTGGTAACATTAAATCGTTTAAACCCGCTGCATTTGTTTGCACCTGTCCTAAGTCAGGAATCTGATGTTCAGTAGTTGTCGTTTGTTGATGTGGTTCATAAGTGTTTCTCGTTTCTTGTTTTTTATATAGATTAGACCGTTGGTTTTCCTGTTTGAATGGTTTTACACTAGTAATTTTTAGGGCCCTTTTTAGCTTACTGTTCGGTGTGAGCCAAGGCTCCGTGTTGAAGACTGTACTTTGACCTATAATGGGTTACTTTTATAAATTTTGACTTGGATGGAGAGTTGTCTCATTGGCACTCATACCACATCATCTTATATCTATATAATAGACAATATTTATTTGCACAAACACATTAATATGTCATGCATGTCTTAATATTGTATGTGTTGTTATTGTTATTAATTTTGGCAAGAAACTCTACAAAGCTTATGTTTGTAATGTTCATGTAACCCTGACTTAACATAAAATTTTCTATTGTTCTGTTCTATTCTATCGAGTCTGTTTTTTCATTGATTGAAATAATTGAAATTTAACTCGATCAATATCTGTTATATTGTCATTGAAAGCAGATAGATATAAATTACATGTTGATGACTGAGAAAGATCTTTACATTTCATTTGCAGGAAATGCCAGAATAGCAAAAGAATTGAATGAACTGGAACATCTATTGAAAGAACGAGAATATGTATGTATTGAGTCTATAAGGCAAATTAGTGTTTCCTGCAGGAGGTTTGTGGAGGGTGTGGTGCAGATGCCTCGTTTTCTTTAAACACTGCCCTGTTTTGTAGAATTCTTGGCACCATGCCCCATTTCTGTCTTATTTCATAACTGTCGTTCATGATCAGCTGTCCAAATTTTAGTTGACCGACTTAGATTAATTTTGTTTATAGTAATACAATTTATTTCCCTTTCAAAAAGTGTAAAATTAAAGAAGTTGATCCAGAATACAAATAAGATTTGGTGAATATCTCTTGCTTATTAAACATGTTAAATGTGTGAGATTACCAGGACTATCACAGTTAGTGTTAGATTACAAAAAAAAGTGTCTGTTTCTTTTTATGAAATTTTAACGAATATTAAATTTTTCTGAAGTTAACCTGTGTATTTTTTTTGGATTTCACTTTTGTTTTAGTTACAAGAAAAACTTATTTGGATTATCATGATTATAAGCGAGTGTGATAAGTTTATACTTCTAGGACAATAATTTTCGTTGGTAAACACGGTAAAAACTTTATTACAGACCCAGAGAACTGCTAGATAAATCTATGATTTGGTACTGAATAGATGAGAAAGCATAATTATTATAGTAAATATAAATCAACCAAATTAATAATTATCTGATAAACATGTCCAGGCTGTGTTAAAGACCGTGACATAATGACCGTTCAGGGTAAAAGATAGGATGTAGCCCCTAGCATTCTCAGTGATACAATTTTATTTGAACGGTATTGTTAAGTGATATAGTTGTCAGTTTCATTATGATGTTTAACATCAGTTTTTAATATTAGAATTAATTGGCCATGTTTACCTCAGGACTTTACTTTGATAAGATATTTTCTTTAGATACAGGTTTCTCTATATATCAATATTTGGCATATAAATATGTTGTTGTATTAATATCAAATTGAAATCAGATCTTAAAGATTTTATCATCTAGGTCTTTATTTCTTTCATGAAGTTAGAATTTAAAAATTTATCATTTGGAAGTTTACATGTATTGGAACTTGACATAAACTTTTACATGTGTTTAATCAAGATATAGATTTGATGTTGATTTTATATCCATTTTGCTTTTATTCAAGATTAACGTCAGGTATTTAGTTAACATATACTTCAATATCAATTTGAGTAGAATTTGACCTGTAGTGTCAAATTTAAAGGTCTTTTTGCACAAATTCGGTTTTATATTTTAAGGAACATGCAAGAATTTACCTGAACACATTTAATGGACAATTTTGGTTTTAAACAGTTAAGATACCAGAATATCCAGATCAACAATTTGATGAAAAAAAAATAATGTGGTCAAGCAGATGACAATAAAAGGATATTCTGAATCCAAATTTTCCCCATACATTAATCATGTTAATGTGTTAAATGTTGAAAAAATTAATTTTGATTGATGGCATAAAAAAACTAAAAAAAATGTTTGCACTTTTGAAAAAAATTTTCTGACTCAGACAAAAAAACCATAACCCCCCTTAAAGTTAAATGCTCCAAAAGTAATTGTAATTTTCATGGAAAATATGCATACAGATTTATGTATCCCATATCATAATGGGAGTTCTGATTATTGCAATACTCACCATGCTCACTCAGTCACAATAATAAAACCTGTTAATGATTTCTAAAGCTACAGTATTCTATCTAACAATACTCACCATGCTCACCCAGGCACAATAATAAAACCTGTTAATGATTCCTAAAGCTACAGTATTCTATCTAACAATACTCACCATGCTAACTCAGTCGCAATAATAAAACCTGTTAATGATTCCTAAAGCTACAGTATTCTATCTAACAATACTCACCATGCTCACCCAGTCGCAATAATAAAACCTGTTAATGATTCCTATAGCTACAGTATTCTATCTAACAATACTCACCATGCTCACCCAGTCGCAATAATAAAACCTGTTAATGATTCCTAAAGCTACAGTATTCTATCTAACAATACTCACCATGCTCACCCAGTCGCAATAATAAAACCTGTTAATGATTCCTAAACCTACAGTATTCTATCTAACAATAATAAAACCTGTTAATGATTTCTAAAGCTACAGTATTCTATCTAACAATACTCACCATGCTCACCCAGTCCCAATAATAAAACATGTTAATGATTTCTAAAGCTACAGTATTCTATCTTACAATACTCACCATGCTCACCCTGTCGCAATAATAAAACGTGTTATTGATTCCTTGATTTACAGTATTCTACCTAATAGAAGACCTGTACTCTACAAAACATGTTGGTGTTGTTATTTTTTACCCATCCATCATGTCCATAGTTGTTACGGGTAGAACTTCTAAGTTAATCCCCTATGCCCACCCTTTGGAGAGGAGATCCTATTTGTTTAACGTTTTCTTTTCTTCGTCATATAAGAATTGAACATATAGTACCAGTGGGAAAAAATAAATTGTATTTAATATTTCTAAAATGTTATGAATATACATGATTGGAGGGTAGGTTCAATAATACAGCACCCTCTATGATCAGTGTCCTCCATAATGAGTGATGCCTACTGTAATGTTAGTGATTTTAATATAAACAAACTGGATTATTAGGGTTAGGCAGGTGTAAATAACAAAAATTCATGTCAGCTATAATGTACATTGATGGTTTTATTTTATAGGAGACACAAAATCCCAGTGATGTCGAAGAAGAAAGGGAGACAACATTGCAGGAACCAGACGAAGAAGAAGAAAGGGAGACAACTTTGCAGGAACCAGACGAAGAAGAAGAAAGGGAGCTGGAGGTAGCTATAAAATTAACGGAATGTTTTATCTGTTAAAATTGTGATAAGAAATTTGAACTTTAGAACCAGCTGCAGTAAATTAATTTTACTATGTATTGTTTACAGGAATTTTGCTGTAGACCTGTTTAATTATTTGACACATGAAAACCATGATAAACTTTTACAAGTTGAACCAATAAACAAAATATTTTTTGCTTTTCAAAATAGTTGCTGTATGTCTTTTATGCATAAATGTTTTCATTCAAATTGATTTTTTTTTTAATTAGGTCAGACAAGGTAGATTTGGGAAATTACAGACTCCTCAACGACATCTTGACAGACCTAGCAAGTCTAATGCAAGGAAAATCAAAGAAGGCATGCAAAAACTAACACAAAGGGAGAGGTTGTTGGCTGAGAGAAAGATGAAAGAATGGAGGAAATCAAATGAAGCACTACCTGATCCAGAGGTATTGAGAATTTGTCACAGCAGTGTGGCAGCTTTTATGTTAAAGGCATATATAAACAAGTGTTTCACTGACTCTACCAATCCTCATTATTAGTGTCTACCATAAGAATGTTTTTGGGTCGTTGATGAGAAAGCATTATCACAGTTTAGACTGTATAACCTGTTTAAAATAAGTTGAAAACATTGAAAATCTACCGTCCCCAATTTTTAAGCAGCACTTAGGGGCATTATGTTTTTCGGTCAATGTGTCCGTCCGTTTGTTCGTTCGTCCGTCTGTTTGTCCCTCTTTAGGTTATAGTTTTAGGTCAAGGTAGTTTTTGATGGAAGTTGAAGTCCAATCAACTTGAAACTAAGTAAACATGTTCCCTATGCTATGATCTTTCTAATTTTGATAAAGTAGAGAATGGAAATGGGGAATGTGTCAAAGAGACAACAACCCAACCAAAGAATGATAAAACAGCCGAAGGCCACCAATGGGTTTTCAACACAGCGAGAAAATCATGCACCTGGAGACGGACTTCAGCTGGCCCCTTATCAAAAAATGTGTACTAGTTCAGTGAAAATGGACGTCATACTGAACTCATAAACATATAAATGAACCAAAATTAAAAAAAACATACAAGACTAACAAAGGCCAGAGGCTGCTGACTTGGGACAGGCGCAAAAATGTGGCAGGGTTAAACATGTTTAGGGAGATCTTAATGACAAATTAGAGTTTTGACCCTGAATTTCACTGTCCCCTCACTCCACTGAACATAGAAAATGAAAGTGTGAATGGGGTATCCATGTACTATGGACACATTCTTGTTAACTATGTTAGTGGAAACACATTATTTTTTTGGTTATCCAAATGCTAGCTGTTGACCTCTGATGGTTTAATACTTACAAGAGTTTACATTTAATTGTAATTCAACTGCCAATTTCTTACTGTTTACCTTACTATATCTACTTTTAGAACCCTGCATAAGAATACCAAATAAGACCATAACATATAAATTTTCAAAATTCCATATCCTTAAATAAATTTGTGAGAAAGAGAGCTCATGAATAAGGATGAAATTGTGCATTTTATTTATTTTTCCCTTTATTTTACCGCACTCCAATATCGAATATTGATTTTATAAAGGGGATGATGACTTATCCTTGATTACTAAATGCTGTTAACTTTGGATATTTTCACAATTTTATACAAATATATCATCCTTATAAGGCCTAGGGGACCACTGGACGTTAAGCAACCAACAATCAATCAATCCTTATAAGGGGCACTTGCGAAAAATACAATGTACCTGTTGAGAGGTAATCAAATTTCCAGAGCAGTTACTGTGGATTCATTTATTTTCGTGGATACCAATTTTCGTGGTTTGAGAAATATTGTATGTTAGTGGATGTTTGATTTCGTGGTTTTGCCAAAGTCTGCATACAAGCTTATGGACAGTTTGTAATTCGTTGAACACTTAAATTCGTGGTCCAACTTTGGCAACGAAATACACGAACATTAGTATCCCATGAATAATAATGAATCCACAGTAAGTCATCTTTTTAAAAAAGATTTGAATTACAACATCGCCCGTGGACTAGATCACTACAAACTGTTTTAGTGTTTTCATTTGGTAGTATTATTATACTTGCGACCAGTTTTATAAAATTGGCTGATAACAAAGCTGTAAATTTGAAGAAAACATTTGAAATATAGAGAATAATACATGGCAAAATCCGTATCATATGCCGTATCATCCAGAGATACCAATATCAGCCCAAGGGCCTTTAGGTCGAGGGTGATACGGCATGTGATATGGATTTTGCCATGTTTTATATGCTTTATCATATATTTAAACAGGAGAGTATATATGAACTGCTTTCTGATCCCTAGCACCTGGGTTACATTCAGATTTACTTTTGTCTTGTTTTAAAAGCTTTAAAAGAACTGCTTAATTATTCATTCGAAGCACCTGGGTTACCTTACAATTTGCGTCCTGTTGTTCATAGAAATATTTTGTTTATTGTATTTTTTTATGTTTTGTATCGTGTTTCATTGAGTTCTTTTTTATAGTTGCATTTCGTGTGCCAGAAAATATGAAAGCTCGACGTCTCTGACGTCACATGCCAAACAATGATGTCATTCGATAAAGACGTCACGCCCTAATGACCGTTTCATTTAGGACCCATTGAGGAAAAATGTTTCTTGAGAAGCTTGCATAAATTAAAACATGGACTTCATGTAAATTTAGTCGGAGTCACTAACTGTCATAAATGAGAAAGTTGAGTAGGGGTGTGATAAAGGGTGCGCATCAAAGTTGATCAATACGGATTAAACAGCAGGCTATTTATCAAATATTCAAAACTACTGTATACTATAAAATGTATGATAAATGTTAATATTTGTGGAGAAATCAGTCAGTGATTCAATGGAAACTGAAAGGAGTGAAACACGAGGAATTCAGAATTTCCCTTCATATTGCGAGATGTTCACTGTAAACAGTTTCCAATTTTCATTTTGACCTCCATAATGAACACATATTTTTTTTGTCATTATTGTATTGGTTAGTTTAAAAAAACATTAAAATGACATTTGTTAAAAGTTGAAATGGGGATTTCATGTTAAAATCATATGACCCCTGACAAGAGGTAAATTATATAGAGAAAGCATTCGGGAGGGTAATTTTGGACTTTCATTCTCTTAATAACATATAGATTTATGATCAGGCCCTTTAGAAAGCAATCTGGACATGAAGATAATTCTGGATGTCCTAAGAAGTCTCATATTTACTTGCATATTGTTGATGTTGCTAGACCAGGGACTTCTTATTAAGTCTCCCAAACGAAGTTTGGGAAGACTTATTGTTTTTGCTCAGTTCTTATTATTATTATTATTCTTCTTCTTCTTCTTCTTCTTCTTCTTCTTCTTCTTCTTCCGCCGCTTTTAAATTTGAACTTGTCCGCACCCATTCTCCAAAACCGCTTGTCAGATTAACTTAGGGTTTCACAATATGTTAGACTAACATGTCTAGTGGTGCAATCAGGGTTTTGTTTGTGCAATGGGGTTTATAAAGGGGTACGTTGAGGGGCAAAAAGAAAAGAGGGTTTTACTATAGAACCCTATGGGATTTTATTTTTTAAAATTTTCAAATGATTATAAATTGAAAACCGTTTGTGATAAAAAAATCTTTTTAATTGAAAACGTTCTAAATGATAAAACCCATTAAATGAAATACAGGGTTAGTCCCCAGGGGTCACCCCCACCCCCTGCCATTTAAGAAAGTTCTAATACCTTGTAAGTGGTCAAGATCCCCACCCCTAAACCATATATATTCTGGTTTGTCATGCTAAGATGGTTTGAATGATATACAGGGTTAGTCCCCAGGGGTCATCCCGACCCCCTGCCATTTGAGAAAGTTCTAATATCTTGTAAATGGTCGAGATCCCCACCCCTAAACCATATATATTCTGGTTTGTCATGATAAAGCACATCAAATGTAATTCAGGGTTAGTCCCCAGGGGTCACCCCCACCCCCTGCCATTTAAGAAAGTTCTAATATCTTCTAAGTGGTCAAGATCCCCACCCCTAAACCATATATATTCTGGTTTGTCATGCTAAGATGGTTTGAATGATATACAGGGTTAGTCCCCAGGGGACATCCCCACCCCCTGCCATTTGAGAAAGTTCTAATATCTTGTAAATGGTCGAGATCCCCACCCCTAAACCATATATATTTTGGTTTGTCATGAAAAAGAACATCAAATGAAATACAGGGTTAGTCCCCAGGGGTCACCCCCACCCCCTGCCATCTAAGAAAGTTCTAATATCTTGTAAGTGTTCAAGATCCCCACCCCTAAACCATATATATTCTGGTTTGTCATGCTAAGATGGTTTGAATGATAAACAGGGTTAGTCCCCAGGGGTCATCTCGACCCCCTGCCATTTGAGAAAGTTCTAATATCTTGTAAATGGTCGAGATCCCCACCCCTAAACCATATATATTCTGGTTTGTCATGATAAAGCACATCAAATGAAATACAGGGTTAGTCCCCAGGGGTCACCCCCACCCCCTGCCATTTAAGAAAGTTCTAATATCGTGTAAGTGGTCAAGATCCCCACCCCTAAACCATATATATTCTGGTTTGTCATGCTAAGATGGTTTGAATGATAAACAGGGTAAGTCCCCAGGGGTCATCCCGACCCCCTGCCATTTGAGAAAGTTCTTATATCTTGTAAATGGTCGAGATCCCCACCCCTAAACCATATATATTCTGGTTTGTCATGATAAAGCACATCAAATGAAATACAGGGTTAGTCCCCAGGGGTCAGCCCCACCCCTGCCATTTAAGAAAGTTCTTATATCTTCTAAGTGGTCAAGATCCCCACCCCATACCATATATATTCTGGTTTGTCATGCGAAGATGGTTTGAATGATATACAGGGTTAGTCCCCAGGGGTCATCCCGACCCCCTGCCATTTGAGAAAGTTCTAATATCTTGTAAATGGTTGAGATCCCCACCCCTAAACCATATATATTCCTATTTGTCATGTCTCGAACATTTGAATGACGTATACTGTCAGTCCCCAGGGGTTCCCCCCACCCCCAATGTTCTAATATCTTGTAAATGGTTGAGATCCCCACCCTTAAACCATATATATTCCTGTTCGTCATGTCATGAACATTTGAATGACGTTTAGGGCCAGTCCCCAGGGGTTCCTCCCCACCCCCAATGTTCTAGTATCTTGTAAATGGTCGAGATCCCCACCCCTAAACCATATATATTCTGGTGTGTCATGCCAAGATGATTTGAATGATATACAAGGTTAGTTCCCAGGCATCACTAATGCATATAACTTTACTGGACCAAACCAATTTTCACTGGACGTTGCCTAATGTCAGGCGACCCTGGGAATTACGAATTATGGGAGCTTCGTTTGGGAGACTTCGTAACAGCATCCTGTTACAATCATTTCTTGTTTTATAATTGTTTTATATTTAAAAAGAATTTAAACATAGAAAAGGATATATTGCTTAAAAGAAGACTAAACAGATTTTTATACGACCGCAAAAAATTTTGCGGTCGTATATTGGTATCACGTCGTGGTCAGCGTCGTCTGAAAACATTTGGTTTGCAGACAATAACTTTAGTAAATGTAAATAGAAATCTATGAAATTTAAACACAACGTTTATAATCACAAAAGGAAGGTTGGGATTGATTTTGGGGGTTATATTCCTAACAGTTTAGGAATGAGGGGCCAAAAAGAGGCCCAAATAAGCATTTTTCTAGTTTCCAGACAATAACTTGTGGAACTGTGTATGGATCAACAGCATAGTGTATTGCACAGCACAAAAGCAAAAAATTGAATATAAATTCAAATCATATAACCAATTCTAAGTTCTTTGACTACAGTTATTCTGTGTCAGAAACCTATTATGTGTCAAATATTTAATTACAATCCAAATTCAGACCTGTATCAAGCGTGAATATTGTGTCCATTTTTGCCCCAACTGTTCAGGGTTGGACCTCTGCGGTCGTATCTAGCTGCGCTCAGCGAGGCAAATTATTCTACTATCTTTTACCTTTCAGAAAATTGATCCTGATGACCCTGTATCTAACCTGCTTGAAGGTATGGAAATTGAGAACAATGGACATGCTCATCGTGTAAGTATTTATGCAGTTATAAAAGACATACAAGACTAACAAAGGCCAGAGGCTCCTGACTTGGGACAGGTGCAAAAATGCAGCGGGGTTAAACATGTTTTGTGAGATCTCAACCCTCCCCCTATATATACATCTAGCCAATGTAGAATAAAGAAACACACAGCAATACGCACAGTAAAACTCAGTTTAAGGATGTTCGCTACTCTGTTTCAAAATAACAAGCTTTTTGAATGACTGTCATAAATTGATAGTATATTAATGAAGGAACTAAAAAAGCAGAAAAAAATGAAGGGTCCGTGTGCTTGTTTTCGAGATATAAGCCATTGAAAATTTGGCGGGAAATGATTCTCTCTAGATTTTTCATACATTTAACATTGGCACCTTTTTTCTTTCAAAAACATTGAAAAAATAACAAGGATTTTATAAGGTTTTCAAATATGGCTTTTTAAAGTATATGTAATAAAATTATGAAAAGAAAAGTAGGGGTTTGTGGACAAAATTTCATAATGGAAAAACATGGATAAAACCAGAGGATTCCGAATATCTGACAAAAAATCAAAAACAAGAGGAGCGAACATCCTTAAAAGAAGTCTGAGTCTGATGATTGGTTTAGAAAGAGACACATGTTCATCTATGATTTCAAAGGTGAACTGAAAACAGATGATGATATTGCATGGGTGTTTTAGAAAATTTATATTGTATGGTTATTTTTAGAACATCTGACACAATCAAAACAACCAATCAAATGAATAGGTTCTCTACTTGTGGCTTATTGGCAATAATTATATAACAATTTTAAAAAGCATGTATATGATACATGTATCTTGGAAATAGAACATAAAAATAAAGACTGCAACCCAAGATTGGTACCTTAGTAATTAATCTTTTTAACATATAGAAATGTATGAGGTTGATACCAGGATATAATATCTACCTGAAGTAGTATATCGACCTCTGACTTTGTTTTCAGTTGATATAGATTGGTGTTCCATGGTACCTCAGTAATTGATCTTTTCAACATTTAGAATAATAAAGGCACAATTTGATTATTGTTTTTATTCTATTTTTAGCTCACCCAAAAGGGCCAAGTGAGCTTTTCTCATCACTTGGTGTCTTTTGTCTGTCGTCGTCAGCCGTTAACTTTTACAAAAATCTTCTCCTGTGAAACTACTGGGCTGTAGTTGGGTTGCTGCCCCTGAATTGGTAATTTTAAGGAAATTTTGCAGTTTTTGGTTATTATCTTGAATATTATAATAGATAGAGATAAAGTGTAAACAGCAAAAATGTTCAGCGAAGTAAGCTCTACAAATAAGTCAACATGATCAAAATTGTCAATTGACCCCATAAGGAGCTATTGCCCTTTAAAGTAAATTTTTCACAATTTTTCATAAATTTTTGTAATCTTTTACAAAAATCTTCTCCACTTAATCTGCTGGACCAAAAAGAATTAAACTTAGCCACAATTTTTCAATAGGGTTTCTTGATTGAAAAATGTATCCGATGACCCTGTCATTCAACCAACATGGCAGCCAGGGCTAAAAATAGAACATAGGGGTTTACTATAGAAGTCTATGGGAAAATTGAAAATAAAAACAATTTCAAATGGTCACAACTTGAAAACTAATCCAAATAATGATAAGGGTCTTGAGTAACTATTATAAGACTACAATGGGATGACCTGCTTTAAATTTAACTACTGGGCCTATTTAAACCAAACTTGGCCTCAATCATTATTAGGGTATCTAATACTATTTATTATGATTTTAACCTTACTTTACATGACTTCCAAAACCAAAGTAGATACAGGTGAGCCACATAGACTCTTGAGAGACTCTAGTTGGATTATTTCTTTGAATTTTTTTTACATAAAATAAAAATAGTTTTTCTGTGTTAAATTTCTAAGGCAAAAATTGTAAATGAATTGATCAATGTTCCACAGTTGCATAGGCTAAAACAGGGAACTCCTACCATAGTCATTTAAGTTGTTAGCTTGCTGTTTCATCATGCTCATTGATGATGTATACTATGTATCTTTATATTCATGTTTCAAAAGATTCAATATCTGATGGACCATTCCTACCAAGTCGGAAGTTTCCCATCAGAAAATTTACATTTTTTACCCAAATTCCAAATCTTTTTATAAGAATATTTTATTTTACTGTTTTTAACCAACCTGAAATATTATTTTCAATTAATTTAACTTAATTTGAAAAAAACAAAAATCCTAATTACATGAATTAAGGATGTAACCATATGAATAACATCAAAATGAGAAACAAGAAGATAGAAACAAAAAACATAAAAAAAACACTAAATTGGTAATTTTATGCCACACCTAGGGGCATTATGTTTTTTCGGTCTGTGCATCCGATCGTTCCTCCGTCCGTTTGTTCGTTCGTTCGTCCATCCATCTGTCCTGATTCATGTTAAAGTTTTTGGTTAAAGTTTTTGGTCAAAGTAGTTTTTGATGAAGTTGAAGTCCAATCAACTTGAAACTTAGTACACATGTTCCCTATGATATGATTTTTCTAATTTTAATGACTAATTAGAGTTTTTACCCCAATTTCACGGTCCACTGAACATAGACAATGATAACGCGAGTGGGGCATCCATGTACTATGAACGTGAAGGATGTTACTGTTTTGATATCACTTCCTGTTGACGAATTCAGAAATCTTTTTAGTTTATCAAAGTTTGGTAATGTTATTAAAATTATGTTCTATAGTATGAAATTTTTTAAGATATTCATGAATGTACTTATATTTTTTTTTATCACCAGAGAAAAATATTTTTTTTATCACCAGACAGAAAAATGACATTCTTCATCAATTTCATTTTTACATCTGATGCATAATATTTCTTCTCTTGGCAATGAATGGATTTAATGAGTTTATCTTTACCATGTAAACAGCATGAAAGTACTATAGAAAATTCTTCAGAAGATATACTGAAAATAGCAATAAAGGAAAAATTAACTGATTAAATGTAATTATGATTAACAGGTTCAAGGACTGCATCCAGAAAACAGTGCTAAGACATACAGTGATTCCCACGACTCGCACAGACTTACACCAGAACAGATAGCAGAATATGAATTAAAGAATTCAGTGAGTAGACTTTACCACATAAATGGCTAACCAATGTTAAAAAAATTCCTGTCACTTCATACAAAAAATCTGATGAGTGAGAAGTCTCTCAATAGAATTCCAACATATTTTTATTGTCAGCTTGACTTTATTAAACTTTTCAGACTTACATTTTAGTTTTCATAGTCTAGTTCAAAGACACCAGATTTTGAGGAATTTTCCAGTTTTTTTTCCCTTCAAACTGGAGAAGCCTATTATAGATATAAGAAGATGTGTAACTGTAAACCAACAATTTTGAGTGACCCATTTATTTTTCGTGACTTTCACTAGTACAAAATGACACAAATATAATAAATTGTCACAAAAGTGTCAAACTTGGTTATTTTCTTAAAGGAATACATCAAATTATCGTTTTGCTTTTTGCGCCGATTTTTTTTTTCACTTGCGCCCATTTTTTCTTTCATTTGCGCCGATTTGTGTACAGGTAAATATATACAGGTGAACGTTATTTTTTCATTTATCATTGTAAACCTCTTCCGTCAGCTAATTGTATATATGTTATAATTTGTTCATTGTAATGATTCTGGACTGTTATTCGTCGATCCTCTCAAGTTTTCAATGGGTGCAGCTGCCCAGAAATGAGGTGCATAACGTGAAGTTGAGCATGATTATTTATAGAATAACTAATCGAAGAATTCAAATGGAGAAAAATATTCAACGAGTGACCGAACAACACATTAATTCACGAATGCGCGTAGCGCATGAGTTAATTATCAGTGTTGTTCGGTCACAAGTTGAATATTTTTCTCTATTTGAATTCTTTGATTAGTTATTCTTTTTATTACATTGGCAAATGGCTTTTTTTAATGAAATTAATGTAGAAAATGTAAGGAACTATATCTTTTTTCTACACATTCACAATTTGTTTTGATCGGATGTTATCGACATCTTGACAACGCCTATTGTTGTATGACGTCAGAGAGTGAATTAACCACGTTTATTTCACATGTGAAATTATCGGTTTTTATTTGACTGGGAAATCAATGTAATTCAATGCTACCAATGTAATAAAATTATATAAGTACTTACTATGTAGTCTAACAGTGCATGACATTTATCATCAGAAGGAGCGTTAGACAATATGTCAAACATGAAGCAGTCTTTGATTCCATCTGGGGAAAGGAATCGTAACCCGAAAAATTGCGATAACCATTTACCAGTGTCACTTGATTTGTCTGTATACTCAGATGAAAACGACAAAAATCTACTTGCAGGGGACAACAGTTATATACATGTTATAATTGACCATTCATAACATATGTACAACTGGCGAACGGAAGAGGTTTATAATGATAAATAAAAATAACATTTACCTTTAGTTTACCTGTACAAAATCGGCGCAAATGAAAAAGTCAAATCGGCGCAAATGAAAGATAGAAAATTAAAAAAATCGGCGCAAATGTCATACGCCCCATCAAATGGGTTATATAAACACAAAAACAAATTGTCACAAAGCTGAACATGAAATAAAAAGTAAAATATCAAAAGTACCGAACTCCAAGGAAAATTCAAAACGGAAAGTTCCTTATCAAAAGGAAAAACCAAAGCTCAACACTAAAAACAAATGGAAAACAACTGTCATATTCCTGACTGGTACAGGCATTTCCTTGTGTAGAAAATGGTGGATTAAACCTGGTAATATACTGTAAACCAACTAATTTTCTCGGATACTTTATTTCACGTTTAGCATTTTCAAGACCACTTTGCGGCGATTTAATTTCGCGATTTCCACATTTAATTAATGTAGTTGAATAAGAATGATCCAAGTTTTACATATTCGCGACAATTTATATTCGCGTAATTTTTCTAGTCGCGAAAATCGTGAAATTAAATCGCACGTGAAAATTAGTTGGTTTACTGAAGCTAGCTAAACCTCTCACTTGTATGACAGTCGCATAAAATTCCATTATATTGACAACAATGTGTGAACAAAACAAACAGATATAATGGGTAAAAATGTCACAAATAGGGGTACAGCAGTCAATATTGTGTTATAATCTTAATCACAAACACTTGTGAAAATAAGTTTGTTTACAGTACCTTCTGTATTTTTTCCAGGGTGATTCAAGCGGCAGAAAGAGAAATTTTGACACGTATACTAGATGGCTTTGGAAAGACGGAATATTACCTTATAGTATACATAACATGTGTAAGTACTGGCCTCGCGGTCATAAAACTTTCGAGCACGATTATCGTACTCAGACTCAGAAATTAACCAATCAAAATACTGGATTTTGTGTTTCGAGCACAAATTTTGTACTCCGAGTACTGAGTAAAGTTTTATGACCGAGGGCCCAGGACTCTCTTTACAAATATGACAAATGCAAATATTGTCAAACATAGTTGATCATTTAATGGGATAGACCACTTTCAAGTTATGTCCTTCACCTGAAAAGTTCATCAATTTTGTGCGCCTTTATGATTTCATTTACCAGATAGAGGGGATTGCCTGTATCCGTGCTCTATTCAAGTTCATCAAGCGTCTTTGTGATCGTCATTATGCAGGATAAACTAGAAATAACATTTGTTCCATAAGTACTTAATCACAATTCCCTAATGACAGCAGTGCTGATTATCAATTATAAGAATTTAATTTGCCGAATGATTCATGCAATATAGCATTATTTTTTTTTCAACCACTCACTCAACATGGGAAGGAAGTGACGATACCCCTAAACGCACGAATGATGTTCACTAAAACCAAAGGTTTGGCAGAAATGCAACAAACTCAAAAGTTGTCTATTGAGGACAGTTTTGAATTGTATTGTCATTCATTATGATATATGTTGACTTGTCACACAATTTTAATTTCCTCTATGTACGGACTCCAGGGGGAATTTTTGATCTAATCTTAATAACCCGCTCTCTCAAGTTATTTTGCATTTTTAGGTTGCTTGATATCTTTGCTTTTACAATCTATACATTATTATCTGTTTGGTACAATTTTTGTCGGTTTGAAATAAAGCCGAATTTGCCACCCAACAGTGTCTGTGCATTAACTTAACAATACTTTGACAAAATCTTTCAAATTTAGATATGTAGTTTCCTGTGACTAATGAAAGGTCAATTTTGATTTTCCCGCTTTTAGCTTTCATTGTTGAGTTGTAGACCTTTAAGTAGCGAAAAGTGATACTTACAGCATTGTCCGTACAATACCTTTGAAACGCTTTGACAAAATCTTTTCAAATTTAGATATGTTGTTTCCTGTGACTAAATGAAGGTCAAGTTCTCTTTTCACGATTTTTTAGCTTTCATTGTTGTTGAGTTGTACACCTTTCAGTAGCAAAAAGTGATACTTAGATTGATCTAATGGCCTTCCCATTTCTGAACCCTACAAAAACTCATTTATTTTTTTATTTAATCCTGTTTGAGGGTCCAGATTTGCAAATATCATTTTCGTGCAGGAAAATCAGGTTTGTTCCAATCTAACAGCCTCTTGTTTCGTATTACAGCTACAAGTTCTGTAACAGTTATAAACAAAGCCATTAAACAATTCCATGACTACACATGTGTTAAATGGATAACAACCACTGATCCCCTGTTCAACCCATCAGCACTTGGACACCAGAATGTTGTAACATTTATAAATGGAGGGTATGTAATGAAATATTTAATAATATTGAGCTGGAAATAAGTTTCATTTAATGTTGTAAAATATAAGAATAAGAAGATGTGGTACAATTGGCAATGAGACAACTCTTCATCAGAGACCAAATGATGTAGAAGGTTAGCAAGTTAAGGTCACCATACGGCCTTCAATAATGAGCAATACCCATACCGCATAGCAAGCTATTAAAGGCCTGAGAAATGACAAATGTGAAACAATTAAAACGAGACAAAAACAAATATGATCTACATATAAATGAACAAACGACAACATAACTCCATTTCCAAATTTGATTTTATAATTAATTGTTAAATGATTTTACTTCTAGCGTAGTTCTATTCAGGCCTGGGGGCATTACATTGCAATGTAATGCATTACATTACAATTACTTTGTGATTCTTCCATTACAATTACAATTACATTTTTTCTCTCACATGTAATGCATTACATTACAATTACTTTGCCTGTGTAATGCATTACATTACACATTACTTTTTCAATATAAAAACTAAAAACATTTAAAAAAACAAATTTTTATTAAGAAATTGATAAATATTACCGGGGTATATGTACATATATATACAGTGCTAGTGACATAGACTTCAAATACTGCAAAAAAAAAAAATATCCTATAATTTTGTTTCTAACATTGATCACTTAATCATTAAGACATCATAAAGGGATTTCAAAGTGATATAATAAATGTGCCATAAAAGGATTATCTTGTTAAATGCCTAAGGGCTCTTTGAGGACAAACATAAGTTGAGAAGATTTGATTGCAATAAAAACATTTTGATATTAATTAGGTAAAATAACAACCACAGCTTGGTGTAAAAATGTTGATTGACATATTCAATCTTTCATTGAAATTCATGTAAGGTGTGTATAGATTTAAGAAAATTACATCTTCATATTTTTTAATTCATCTATATAGTTTTGTTTAATAATTATTTTTAGAAGATTTTTTAAGGGCAAACTATCTATAATGATTTAATACAGTAATTAACTGTGATAATAATTTTATTCAATACTTTCTTTTGTTTTTGTTAATATTTCATTTTTATTTTACTACATTCTTCAATTTTATGTATTTTACCAATTTGTAATGAAAAGTAATGTACAGTAATGGAGGCATTACATTGATTTTTAACTAAAGTAATCATTACATTACATGTAATTGTAATGCAGAAAATGTACATTACAAATTACTTTGCATTACATAAAAAAAATGTAATATTACAATGCATTACAATTACAAATTACCATTACCCCAGGCCTGGTTCTATTTAATGATGGAAACATTTAGACTAATATACTTCTATTCAGATTAATTGAAATTGTATTTGTTTTGAAAAAACTCTATTGCAAAATTTTGCAGTTAGGATATAGTATTGATCGTTTTTTTACCAACATATAGGATGTAATTATGAACCTATCTGATCAAATTATGCAAGAAAATTTATTTAAACCATGATGATTATTGTTCCTTTGGTCATTTAAAAAGTTTGACTTTCAAGAAAGAAAAAGTGTGTATGGTACTGGAAACTTTCTCTTTGAAGACAAATTATTTTGGAACATGATAATGATTGTACATAATCTGCTAAGAAGAGGCTACTTAAAAAGCTCAAAGCATCCTCTGAGCATGCCAGTAAAAACAATGTGTACGATAATGGAAGCTTTCTCTTTGTATCAAAATTATTTTTCAACTCAAGACCAAAAAGAAATTAAGAAAAAAAATACCCATATCTACCTGCTGACTCTTTCAATGGTAAAAGCCCTCTTGAACATGTATTGTCTTTGTGACCTAACAGGTAAAAGCCCTCTTGAACATGTATTGTCTTTGTGACCTAACAGGTAAAAACTCTCTTGAACACATAATGTCTTTGTGACCTGACAGGTAAAAGAGAGGTGAAAGATACCAGAGGGACATTCAAACTCTTAAGTCTAAAACAAACTGACAATGCCATGGCAGTAAACAAAAAAAAGGCCAAGAAGACAAACAACAGTACACAAAACACAACATTGAGAACAAGACTGAGCAAGTTATATTTGTATTATAAACATATTTAGTAGTTTTTTATCTTTAGGAGTTGTTGTTCCTTTATAATATTTGTATTGGGTTGACAATTTGTATTGTACACATATTGTATAGTGTTTTATCTTTAGGGGTTGTTGGTCCTGGGTTGGCAATGTTAATCCTCAACGTAACAATGTACAGCACCTTAGCTTAGCCGAACCAGGTTGTATTAGCGTAAGTATAATTTATGTTTCAGGGGCAGATCCAAGATTTTTCAAAAGTGGGCTGTTATTCCATAAAAGTGAATATTTACCATTTTTGTTTAACCATTTTATGCCAAAAAATGAGTTTTTTTTTTTTTTTATCAAATGGAAGGTGTACAAGGTGTATGCCCTCTACCCCACCCTGAATCAACTACTGTGTTAAACCTTTATATGTCTGATTATAACTAGTTTTTGTCTCGCCTGTGATGAAAGTCACTGAAAAGTGAGACAAAGGGGCTTCTTCTCCGGTGATGGCTGAGATGACGGAGTCAACAATTGTTAAGTTTTCTGCTTAAGTTAGTTTGATAGGAACTACTTGTGACAGATCAATGATGTTTTCTATAAAGTTGCATTACTATCAGTACATATCAGTTTGACAACTATTTTAAGGCCCTGCCCCCTAGGTCATGGTGCAGTGACTTTCAATCAATGTTTAGATTTATGATTAAGTTAGTTTGATAGAAATTACTTACTATAACCAATATTTTCTATAAAGTTACACTGCTGTTTGTACATCTCAGTTTGTCAACCATTTCGAGGCCCTATCCACTAGTTGGTCCAGCGACTTTGAATTAATTAGCAATGTTGCTGTCCATCAGATTGTTTTTTTCTGAATTTAATGCCTACAGGCGAGACATATCTCTGTGTCAACAGTTTATTTACTACCTACAGTCCAAAAACTGTGAATTCTTAAATGTTTGAGACAAATACATGAAATGTATTATTGTGAATATTGAAACCAGATAGGGTTTGGCAAAAATAAAAAATCCTGTTCTAAATATTTATAGCATAATTTGTTAGTCAGTATTTCATGAAATCACAATAATTTTTCTCATATTTCCTGTACATCGTCCAAAATGGCGATAATAAATGCATGGAAAAATGTCTGAATTTACTGGACACATTCCATCATGCGAGGGGACTAACCCTGCAGAGGCATAGATAATCTGGTTGGTTTCACTGGAAATAATACCACATCTCTTTTTGTATTTTTATTATCCTGACACCAAGTTTTATGGGTATATAGTTATCACCGTGTTGTTCAATTAGAAATAATACCTCATCTCTTTTTTGATTTTTATTCTCTTGACACCAAGTTTAGGATATTTTTATTATACCCCCCCCCCCCCTTTAAAAAAGTGGGGTATACTGTTTTACCTCTGTCTGTCCATCTGTCAGTCCATCCATCCGTCAGTCCGTCCATCCGTCCCATGAATATTTTTCGTCACATTTTTCTCAGGAACTACATTACAAGAATTTCTGAAATTTGGTTTATGGGTTTATATGAGTTAGCTATATACCGTGTGATGCGTTTTCAGATTCATCACTCAACAACTTCCTGTTTACCTTATTCTCTTAGCAGGCGGGGGTATCATTAGTGAGCAGTAGCCCACAGATACACTTTTTCTATTTTCTACTCCTGACACCAAGTTTTAGGATATTTTTCTATTTCTATTCTGACATCAAGTTTTATGATATTTTTCTATTTCTATTCTCTTGACACCAAGTTTTAGGATATTTTTTAATTCTATTCTCCTGACATCAAGTTTTAGGATATTTTTTTATTTCTATTCTCCTGACATCAAGTTTTAGGATATTTTTTATTTCTATTCTCCTGACATCAAGTTTTAGGATATTTTTCTATTTCTATTCTCTTGACACCAAGTTTTAGGATATTTTTTATTTCTATTCTCCTGACATCAAGTTAGGATATTTTTTATTTCTATTCTCCTGATAGCAAGTTTTAGGATATTTTTCTATTTCTATTCTCTTGACACCCAAGTTTTGGGATATTTTTTATTTTTATTCTCCTGACATCAAGTTTTAGGATATTTTTTTATTTCTATTCTCCTGACATCAAGTTTTAGGATATTTTTTATTTCTATTCTCCTGAAATCAAGTTTTAGGATATTTTTCTATTTCTATTCTCTTGACACCAAGTTTTAGGATATTTTTTATTTCTATTCTCCTGACATCAAGTTTTAGGATATTTTTTATTTCTATTCTCCTGACATCAAGTTTTAGGATATTTTTCTATTTCTATTCTCTTGACACCAAGTTTTAGGATATTTTTTATTTCTATTCTCCGGACATCAAGTTTTAGGATATTTTTTATTTCTATTCTCCTCATAGCAAGTTTTAGGATATTTTTTATTTCTATTCTCCTGACATCAAGTTTTAGGATATTTTTCTATTTCTATTTTGACACCAAGTTTTAGGATATTTTTCTATTTCTATTCTCTTGACACCAAGTTTTAGGATATTTTCTATTTCTATTCTCTTGACACCTAGTTTTAGGATATTTTTTATTTTTATTCTCCTGACACCAAGTTTTAGGATATTTTTTATTTCTATTCTCCTGACATCAAGCTTTAGGATATTTTTCTATTTCTATTCTGACACCAAGTTTTAGGATATTTTTTAATTCTATTCTCCTGACATCAAGTTTTAGGATAGTTTTTATTTCTATTCTACTGACATCAAGTTTTAGGATATTTTTTATTTCTATTCTCTTGACACCAAGTTTTAGGGGTATATAGTAATTACCGTAATCATCTGTCCTATTTTCTGTCTACTTTTAGAATAAGTTCATAGAGTCCACTATTTATGAATACAGTTTTAGTTTTTAATTTTTCTGTAACATTATTTGGCACATGCTTCTCAATCTTTGGTACAGCAACTCCAAAATGATAGATATATATTTGCTAAATAACATTATGGATATCTAACAGGATATTGTTCCCTGTTCACAACTAATTTGTTGGTCTAAAGGGAGTTTATGCCCCACCTAGGGGCAAGTGGGGCATAAGGTTTTTCGATCTGTGCCTCCCTTCGTCCGTTTGTCTGTCCGTTCGTCTGTCCTGCTTCAGGTTAAAATTTTTGGTCAAGTCAGGTTAAAGTTTTTGGTCAAGGTAGTTTTTACTGAAGTTGAAGTCCAATCAACTTGAAACTTGGTACACATGTTCCCTATGATATGATCTTTCTAATTTTAATGCCAAATTATTTGACCCCAATAACATGGTCCACTGAACATAGAAAATGATAGTTCGAGTGGGGCATCCGTGTACTATGGACACATTCTTGTTTTGTTTACAACTAAACTATATACAGGTCTAAGGCTAATTTGTTTCTTGTTTACAACTAAACTATGTGTCTAAAGGGAATTTGTTTCTTGTTTAAGATAAAATCAAGTTCAAAATAAAACAAATCTTTCTTTGCAGGTAAGCACATCTGTGCATGAAATGTTGCATGCCATGGGAGGACATCATGAACAATCACGATCTGATCGTGACAATTACGTCAGTATCGAATGGCCAAACGTTAAGCCACAATGGAATGGACAGGCATATGTCAGAAATGGCAACATGGAGAAATCTAACACACAAGACAATAACCCTTATGATGCAGAATCTTCCATGCAGTACAGTTTATATGTAAGTAGTTTTGTCATCAAGAGAAAATTTCTACAAATAATTAATTTCTACCTCATTTGGTCTCTGGTGGAGAGTTTTCTCATTGGCAATCATGCCACATCTTATTATTTTTATCTTTGTTTTGAAGACCAAAGCAGGTCTAGTAACTGCTTGATTCAGTCTGTCTGTCTTCGTCCAAAAGACCTTGGGAAGGAAACTTTGTCAAAGTTGTCTTGGCTTCTATGAAAGAGAATGATTTTGTTTTAGGTGTGCAGCTTGATAATGTGGAGTTTTAGTTAGAAAGCAGTTTTTACATCTGTAGGTAATCTCATTTGTACAATTCCTCCATATTTTTATCAAACTTATATCAGAGTTTTATAATTTAGTAATGTCTTGGACAAGTTTGAAAATTAACACAGATCTATTGATTTTAAAAGAAATGACTTCTCCCTAAAATTGTAAAGAGTGGTGACCCTTATATTCAGTCAGTATCAGACTTTCTGACTGTTTTGTATTTTGCAGTCTTTTTCCACAAGTATCATACTTACTGACTGTTATGTATTTTGCATGCAGTCTTTTTTTCACAAGTATCAGACTTACTGACTGTTTTGTATTTTGCAGTCTTTTTCCCACAAGTATCAGACTTACTGACTGTTTTGTATTTTGCAGTCTTTTTCCACAAGTATCAGACTTACTGACTGTTTTGTATTTTGCAGTCTTTTTCCCACAAGTATCAGACTTACTGACTGTTTTGAATTTTGCTGTCTTTTTCCCACAAGTATCAGACTGACTGTTTTGTATTTTGCAGTCTTTTTCCCACAAGTATCAGATGGACTGTTTTGTATTTTGCAGTCTTTTTCCACAAGTATCAGACTTACTGACTGTTTTGTATTTTGCAGTCTTTTTCCCACAAGTATCAGACTTACTGACTGTTTTGAATTTTGCTGTCTTTTTCCCACAAGTATCAGATTGACTGTTTTGTATTTTGCAGTCTTTTTCCCACAAGTATCAGACTTACTGACTGTTTTGTATTTTGCAGTCTTTTTCCCACAAGTATCAGACTTACTGACTGTTTTGAATTTTGCTGTCTTTTTCCCACAAGTATCAGACTGACTGTTTTGTATTTTGCAGTCTTTTTCCCACAAGTATCAGACTTACTGACTGTTTTGTATTTTGCAGTCTTTTCCCACAAGTATCAGACTTACTGACTGTTTTGTATTTTGCAGTCTTTTTCCACAAGTATGTGACTTACTGACTGTTTTGTATTTTGCAGTCTTTTTGCACAATTATAAGACTTACTGACTGTTTTGTATTTTGCAGTCTTTTTGCACAATTATCATGATTATAAGACTTACTGACTGTCTTGTATTTTGCAGGCCTTTTCCACAAATGGTCAGAAAACAATCCTCTTTAAAGATCAACGATTAGAGTTTTTGGCAGATTCAGCTGATGGTTTAGAGTTCTATGATATACAAGATGTTACTGATGCATATAAATGTACTGGTGAGTAGAACATGTAGAATTTGCGATGTACTGTTTGTTTCAATCTTTAAGAATGAAGAAAGGAAAATGTGGTATAAATGTCAACGAGACAGCAACCCAATGACAAATATAACCAAAAGACATCTTGTCAGAGGTCAACAGACATCCTTCAGCGATAGAGGGTTTGTAAGCAATATGTAAAGCTTCGGATAGTCCTTAATCAATAACAAGCAGATATGATAATATTGAAAGCCCAAACATTAAAACTAAAGTTCAGATTTCCACAACAAATTTTCTATTGCTATAGCATAAGTGTATTTTGATAGTGTTTCTTTACTGACCGTGCTAGACCCTCGTGGGTATTCAAGGTCGTTAAACATAACCCTAGTAGAAGTGTTTATATTTTAGCATCAACTGTGTTATTGTAAATTTTACAGATAATTTCATTATTACAATGAAAACACATGAAATATTTGCCACTGAAAGTTAAGCAAAATTTTTAGTATGAAATCGATTTGCTACCTGGAAGTCAGTTTCTTTTATTGTCAAGCCTTCGACTTTTGTCGAAAAAGCGAGACATAGTGATCCTACATTCCGTTGGCGTCGGCGGCGTCCACAAATATTCACTCTGTGGTTAAAGTTTTTAAAATTTTAATAACTTTCTTAAACTATCGTGGATTTGTACCAAACATGGACAGAAGCTTGTTTATGATCAAAAGCTAGTATCTAGAAGGAAATTTTTATTAAAATTTTGTACTTGTTTATCCATATTTTACTTATAAATGGACTTAGTTTTTCTTCCAGTTAACATTACATACAGTCTGCAGTTAAATTTTTAGGCAGTTAAGCTGCCTTATGCGAGCACCCTAGATTTGTGTTCTACCCAATAAATGCTGAAATACGTGCCATTGTTATTATCTAGCAAGCTATTATGTTATTTATAACTAATTGGACATTTTATTAATACTTTTATTTCTGGAATACAAAAAATATGACCAGAAAAACCTTAAATGATCGTCGAACTACCCAAAACTTTTGAAGTTGCACATAGGAAGTAGTTCTCAAGAGAAATCCGTAGGTAGTTTATTATCCCCTGTGCTTTTGGCTACGATGTCAAAGAACAATTGTATGAAATATTTCATCGCCGAAAATCGGTAATTACAAGTCGTTGATATTTCCCAAATGGCAAAATACGCAGGAATATTGTTCATGTACAACAAATCTCTATGATAGAGGAAATAAAGTTATATAAGTGGGCGGTAATTTTTAACTTATCTTGCCAAATAAGGTTGTTGTTATTTTATGAATGAAACGAGGTCATGAAACAGATGCGGAAATCGACGTTGATGGGATGTTTTAAGTAATGTGGACAACTCGTCCCCGAGACAAGTCGGACCGTATCCACTCAACCCGTCTAAGAAGACAAATTTGACCGTTTGTCAGATTTACTTAGGGTTTCATAAAATATTAGACTAACATGTCTAGCGGAGCCATTATTCTTTTATTTGTGCATTGGGGTCTATTTAGGGGTATTGGAGGGGCCTGAAGAAGGGAGGGGTTTACTATAGAACCTATGGGATTTTATTTTTTTTAAATTTTCAAATGACTATTTCTCGAAAACAGTAAGTGATAGACACATGCAGTCTTCAGTAATGAGAACAGGACAATGAAAAAAATCAACCAAAATATAGGGTGAGTCCCTGGGGGTCATACCAACCCCCTTCAATTCGAAAATGTACTTTTATCATGTAAACCGTCGCGATCCCCACTCCTAAACAATATATATATACTTGTATGGGACAATATAAGAAATCAAATGAAAATAATTTGGGGGAGTCCCCGGTGTCGTTCCACCCCCTCCTGATTGAGAACTTGGAAATGGTCGAGATCCCCACCCTTAAACCATATATATTCATATATGGGACAATAAAACAAATCAAATGAAATATAGGGGGAGTCCCTGGGGACACCCACCCCCTTCTGTTTGAGAACTTGTAGACAGTCAAGATCCCCACCCCTAAACCATATATTTTCATGTATGGGACAATATAACAAATCAAATGAAATATAGGGAGAGTCCATGGGGTCACCCCACCCCCTCCTGTTTGAGAACTTGTAAACGGTCGAGATCCCCACCCCTAAACCATATACATTCATGTATGGGACAATAAAACAAATTAAATGAAATATAGGGGCAGTCCCTGGGGACACCCACCCCCTCCTGTTTGAGAACTTGTAAACAGTCAAGATCCCCACCCCTAAACCATATATATTCATGTATGGGACAATATAACAAATCAAATGAAATATAGGGGGAGTCTCTGTGGTCACCCCACCCCCTCCTGTTTGAGAACTTGTAAACGGTCGAAATACCCACCCCTAAACCATATTTATTCCTGTTCATCATTTCAAAAAGATTTGAATGACATACAGGGTCAATCTCCTAGGTGTCACATATGCATATCACTTTACTAGACCAAACCAATATGAACTGGACTTTGCCCAATGTCAGGAGACCATGGGAATGGCGAATTATGGGGCTTTGTTTGGGAGACTTCACAACGGCATCCTGTTACAATTATTTCTTGTTTATTATAAAATTTTATTGATGCAAGAAATGAGTCTAGGTTAATTGAATTTACTTTAATTATTTATTAAATTATTTCTGGGCCTATAATAATTTTCATTTATGGCTCATTTAAAAAAAAAACATATAAATCTTTCAATCTTTTTGGGGGTGAAGATGGGGGTCATTTACATTGATATATGAGTTGCTTTTGAAAACCTTGATGAAATATTAATTAATTTGCCTTAATAGTCAATTCATTTAATGAACATAAATGTACAATATACGAATGTTTAATGTTTGTTCTTTCAAATTAAAAAAAAAATTTGAAGCAACACTGCCACAGTTTTCATTATTACGTTTGCCTTGGTTTTTGGTTAACTGCCTACAGCGCTTACAGTGCTTTGATTTAAAACTTTTATTAGATTCATAAACTATCCTGGATTTTTACCAAACTTGGACAGAAGCGTCTTACAATAAAAAAATTGTATGGAGAGGAATAATTTTATTAAATTTTTTCCTCATCTCATTTTTGTTGAGCCTGCGATTAACAGCAAAAGTAGGCGAGACACTGGGTTCCGGGGAACCCTTACAAATTTTTTGAATTAGTTTTCTGGTATTTTTTTTTGGTCAGAAATCACCATGTTGCAACAAACTGTAGTTTCTCAGAACCTTTTTAGATCAGTGCATGATGTCTGCAGAAGCCCTCTACAATAACTTTTTTTTTCAACTTGCCCAATAGGACAAGTACATACCAAAACTTACTTGTCTGAATGGAATTGTAACTTGTCCCAAAAAAAAGCCTTTATATTATTGAGGGGCCTGATGAGGGAGTCTCATCACGATTCACGAGGTGATTTTTTTGTCAATCTTGATTCACAGAAAATAAATTTCCATGATCACGGATCACGAAAATATAAAAAAAAAAAATCTGTAGAAAAACGGATCACGATAGCGAAAATGCGCCGATCACGAAGAACGAAAATAAGCCATCAGGCCCCTCATTATTCTTTTTTGCATTCTAGATTGATTCAATGAACAAAATGAATTAAAACAATAGAACAGAATTTGATTTATATCTCTTGATATCCATACCTGCCAATATTTCAAAATGCCCATGGGGGTTTTAAGTGCATATCATATCTTTTTCAAAAATAAGTCGAGAACAACTGAATGTAGTCATGTTTAGTCACAGGACTTAGGTTCTAGTTTTCATCAATGCCAAAGTATCATCAGACTCTGCACATCAGGCACAGTCTGGTAGGCCTGTCAGTCTGCACTCATTTGGTTTTTATCCTGGACTTTTATGTTGATAAAATATTATGATTAATGCCTTACTACAATCAGCTTGTTTTTAATATATTAAAATGTTTATTCGAACACAATCAAATATTGTTTTTTCTAAATATGATTTTATGAAATTTATGGTCAATAATTTCTTCATTTTTATTTTAAAAATATTTTTGTTAAATAAAATTTATCATATATTTATTATAAAGCAACAGAATAACATAAGGTAAAAATGAGGTACTGGTTTGTCTTGGACCGAAAAGTTTCTAATGGTGCCGAACTGTCTTGTTACCTTATCTACAAAGCGCACACTGCTGATTTGGATCAGTAAGACTTATTTCCAAGACTAGTATGCGTTTTATCTGTTATAAAGTATCTGACAAAGAACCAGTTTTAAATTAAAGATTGCAAGTAAACATGTCAAATTAATATTTGGTTTTATTTTCTTTTCTTGTTATTGTACATAACTTTGATCATCAAAGTTGGATTTAATTTATTTTCTACAGAATGAATTAACTTGTCCCATTGGACAAGCTTGATATGGCTTTTACCTTTTTTTCCTCTGGTACTGGACAATCGGACAAGCGTTATTGTCGAGCCCTGTAACTGAAACTTATATCTTTAGCCATGGTTTCTAAATGTTCCAAAAAGTCCAATAGGTAATTGTTCAGGTTTTTTTTATATATTTTTTTCATAATTTATATATTTAGACCACTGTTCCACCAAACCTAACTGTAAAAATGGAGGCTTCGTTAACTTTCAATGTACATGTACTTGCCCAGATGTGCTGACTGGTGCCACCTGTGAACAGACTGTCTCAAATAGTCGTAAGTATCTAGTTATCTCCCCTGATTAATGTTAATTTTTGACGAATGTGTATTTTAAGCAAAACATTGTTCTATGAAAATGTATCCCCCAAGACAATATTACATGACTTTGTATCTTGAAATTTGTTTCTATCTATAAAATTTTGTCCAGAAAAGGACAAATTTCCAAATGACATTTCGTCCATATACAGACAATATTTCATAGATAAGATTTTGTCTTGTTAAAGGGAGGTAATCGAAGATTATATATTGTGTATATTGAGACAATATTTTACGGTGGATTTTCAACAAATTTTGTCTCATGGAAGAGGTGCTATAAACATTTAACATTTTTGATTATGATATCATAAAAGTTTTCTTAATTGAATTTTCATTAATAAGACGAAACTAACCTGCATAATTGATTTATGGTTATACAGGTACTTTTCATGAAAAATATTAAAAAAATTCCAGAAATGGTTACAATTAAATGGAAGAAAATTCCTCACAGGAAGTCATAATTAGATTAAGAAATATTTTCATGGACATTAATATTTCACAGTCAGAAATATTGTCATGGGCAAAGTTTTACAGTGAAATAATGTCCTGGACAGTATTACATTGTGATATATTGTCCAGAAGGAGGTGACAAAATTTCATGAACAAGGACGGACATTATGTTATTATGAAATAGTGTTGGAGGACAATATCTTTTATAAAGTTTTATCCGACAAACAAAATTTTATGGAGGACATTATTTTATGTTACAAATGCTTAAAGTAAAATATAAAACTGAATAGCAAGTGTTTAAAGGGGCATTAGTTGTCAAATTCCTGTTTACCAATTTGACTCAAACTTTCACATTAGATTTATAACATACTAAAACGTATATCCAAATTATATAAAGTACAATTTACAATGCATGAACATCATATGTATCAGCATTTCGTGTGTATTTTAGTCTACACGCCATCTAATTAAACATTGAGGTGACCTCAGAAGACTGCCAACGGTCATATAACCCGATATAAACATAAATATAGATATAAATAGATAGAGAACTCATGCAATTTGATTTTTCTAGGTCTGTTTGATTTCATATTATAGGTTAAAAAAAAATGTTGATCATCATTTTTGGGTATACATTGCATGAAATGCAATCAAAACCCTATGATACTTGATATCTAAATCTTCTAAGATTCCAACTACTTTTGAGATACTGTGGATTCATTTATTTTCGTGGGTACCAATTTTCGTGGATTGAGAAAAACTTACACTTTCGTGGATATTTAATTTCATGGTTTTACCAAAATCTGGATACAGGCCAATGGAAAATTTGTAATTCGTTGAACATTTAAATTCGTGGTTCACCTGTACCCACGAAATCCACGAAAATTGGTATACAACGAAAAATAATGAATCCACAGTACACAAAATGTAGTGCATTGATTATTACATTCTGTACATCCTATCTATGAATATTTCCTGAAATATATGCTCAGATATTCAAGTTACAAAATGATGGTAAACTTTAGCAATGTGCAGGAATCTCATATCTGTTCTCAAAATATTAATGATGTCATTGTTAAAGACATCTATAAAAATTGGAGTTATCTTCCTTTGACATGCTTTGTACAGCATGGTAGTTGAATCAAATTACAACCAATGCTTTATACAATGCAATATTTAATTTTACTTCCCACTGATAAAATAAAGCAATATTTACCCTTCAGTGCTTACAAGCACTTTGATAAACTGTATAAGAATGAGTTTTTGTTGATCGAATCAGTCAACCAAATGGTTTGCCCTTGTTTCACTTTCAATGTTGACATTCTTTACTTTTAATAACTGAACATGCGTAACCCACACTCTGGCTAAGGGATTAAATTGAAGGTTACATGAATATGGACTCAATGAGGTCAAATTCTTCACTTGCAAGTGAATAATTCATCAGCGATGTTTCTTAGCTTATTTTGACAAAATTGAACCAAACTGGCTGCTAAAGGCGAATTATTGTACAAAGAGTGCGGATCTAACATTTATATTGATTTTGGAGACTGCGATTTTTTTTAAATACCATAATTTAATATTTTTATAAAAAAGTGTGTTAAACATAATATAACTGGGAAGGGGGGTAGGGGTTAAAATAGGTCAATGTGTTGTTTGTTTTAAAAAGATATAACCATATGAATTCTTAACTTGAGTAGTACCAAGAATAAATTATAAATTAATTCTTTTTAGAAACTTGCGGTGGTGTTATCACCCTTGGTGCAGGAGAAGAAAGGATCATCCAATCACCAAATTATCCATCTAACTACCCAACAGGGCTAGAATGTACCTGGTTGATTAAGGTAAGAATTGTCATCTGCTGAAAGAACCAAACTGTTCAATCAACAATCCTACTAGACTTGTGTATATGTGGTTAAAAATTGTTTTCTGGTGAAATCACTGAACTATTCCATATGTTTAAAGTGTACTTGGTTATCAAAGGAAAACAATGTCTGTTCTGTGGTAAATATCTCCTTACTATGTATCCAATGGCAATGGTCTATAGTGTAAACCTTAAGGTAGAACTAATGTCACAGTACCCAAATTGCACAGAGTACCCAAATTGCACCTATTCAACAAAAATTGCTGCGGAAATCTTACAAGTTTTCTTTGAGACTAAACAATTTGTATTTTTATGATTTGACTTTATACACGTCTTTCAACATAGGTAAATATGTTTAAATATACAAAAAACTTTCACAGTATATATCAACAGATGAAGCATTCACTGGAAAAATTAAATCTACGGAAATGTCGCCATGCGACATTTACAAAAAGTTGTCTTTTAAAAATGAGAAAAAAATATGTTACAAGCATCCATTTCTTAAAAAATGAATAGTAAGCATGGACTAATGTCAAATTATTCTAAATATTTGTAGAAATAAAACAAAACATCTGTTATTCGATTTTTAAGGATGCGTCTTTAAGCATGATAGCAATTTGGGTACTCCTCATTACAGAATCATGGATCGTTTGGAGGTCGGTTCAAACCAATTTTTCTATGATTCTATATGGATTCAAATTTAAATTGGTGGACCTATATGGCCCGAGAACACAGTTATTTCATAGTGCATTTCTTTTAGACAATAAAGTCAAATTAAAAAAATCGCACCTGCTCTATCTCAAAAAGATTTTTACAGTGTAGTGTACTACTATTAGGACAAATAATATCAAAATTATAGAAAAGTCTACCAGCTCTAACTCAAAATATTGACAATTCTATGTTAAGGGGGTCTAAAATTCAGTTTGACAGCTTCAGACATACTAATTTTTGACCTTTTTAAACTGGACCTAATCACTACTTAAAGATTCAGCACCCAAATTTTTTTAACATGTAATTTCATCCCCTTACTTAATATTTCATGCATTAAATATAAAGAAATAAATTTGGAAAGTGTATGAAAAAAATTTGCAAGTTATACACTGTCCACACTAGGGACTATATTTGTAGACAACGAAAATCGAAGGACGATAACTGTGTCCTCGGACCTAATAGTATAGAAAGACTTGACCAATTCTAATTAAACTTTGCATGACCTAAGCCTAGGCAATTATCAGATAGTTTGCCAAGTTTCATGGCCATAGGATATATATTATAGAAACTATGGCAACTTTAATATTGAAATTTGAATGTTTAATTTTGACGTTTAAATCAAATAATTTCAACTATCAAGATTTGGGCTTAAAAAATTTAAATATTGCAAAAATTTGCTTTTGAAATGCTCTTAAATATAATATATTAAGTATTAAAAGCAACTGACCACTCATTTGGTTTATCAGATTTGTTACAATTATTCAAAAGTCAAATTTATATGAGCCTGTGACTGAAAATAGAGATTTTCGAATTAAGGGGAGCCTTACATAAACATGCATTTTTTTTCAACCAATTTGAAGTTTTTAAAGTTTTTTATCATAAATTATTCTTTCATATATATTAAATGTACTTTAAATGGAAAGAAAAGTTACAAAAAGCATACCAAATGAGTATAAAATGATCTTAGGCTATGTAAGACTGAACATTATTTAGTGTCAATTTAGGCCGTAGCACATATTTACATATAAAAATCCATACAGAAGCTATAAGAAATGGAAATTTGTTACTTTTTGCTCATTTCTATGCTAAGATGTCATGATACAAGAAGTCTAATTGCAAAAGGACTCTTGCATTCAACTTTTTTTGCAGACAGTATGGTCTGATGCACAGTTTTTTCACTTTTCAATGGAAAACTTGCATGTAGTTTTAGTCTCAACTGGCATATATTTGAACCACATACTATCCTACAGAAGAAAATAAAGGCAGTATATGAAATGGATAAGGTGCACAGATCATTGTCAAGTGCTTTTTTTACAGATTTAGTGAAATTTTTATGATGGACAACACATTCTATGCACAAAGCTCTTCACATTGAACATACATTAAACAGGCCGTTCTACCAGGGCCTAAATACAACACATTTTGCACATTTTTTCTGTGATAATCTACTTTTCTCTATATTCAGAGTTCACAAATGGTTAATAGAATTTGAATTAATCATAGAAACACAAATATCAAAGCATAAAAAGCTGTCAGATAGAAAGTCAGCATGCCTCTTAAGCTTAAAATGGAAACTGCTTCAAAATGCTTATTTTAGCCGTATAATGTCAAAATGGGACATTTTAACAGAATTTCTTTCAAATAAAGATGTAAATCCTTTACTTTTATTGAGTTTGACAAATTGAAACCAGCAAACCATTCAGGGACGTTGCCAAAGTACAGAATCTACATTTCCTGAATTCATCTCTTAGGCCCGAGAACACAGTTATTTCGTAGTGCATTTCTTTTAGACAATAAAGTCAAATTAAAAAAATCGCACCTGCTCTATCTCAAAAAGATTTTTACAGTGTAGTGTACTACTATTGGGACAAATAATATCAAAATTATAGAAAAGTCTACCAGCTCTAACTCAAAATATTGACAATTCTATGTTAAGGGGGTCTAAAATTCAGTTTGACAGCTTCAGACATACTAATTTTTGACCTTTTTAAACTGGACCTAATCACTACTTAACATAAAGATTCAGCACCCAAATTTTTTTAACATGTAATTTCATCCCCTTACTTAATATTTCATGCATTAAATATAAAGAAATAAATTTGGAAAGTGTATGAAAAAAATTTGCAAGTTATACACTGTCCACACTAGGGACTATATTTGTAGACAACGAAAATCGAAGGACGATAACTGTGTCCTCGGACCATATAGTAAATAAGGATACGTCTACAAAATAAACACAAAATGGAAACTTTTGTCTGGATCATAAAAAAAACATAGGTGAAAAAACTGTCAAAATAGGTGCAATTTGGGTACCCTCACGTTATATTTTTAAAGCATTCTTGTTTTTTTTCAGGGAACATCTAATAGTTTAGTAAGAGCCTCAGTACAGTATATGGATATATCTTCTGGTGCTGCATGCAGTCATTGGTTGGAATATAGATATAATTTATTGGGACAGAAAGGTCCAAAGTGAGTATTGTTTGTTGTAGTAGAGATATAATTTATTGGGACAGAAAGGTCCAAAGTGAGTATTGTTGGTTGGAGTAGAGATATAATTTATTGGGACAGAAAGGTCCAAAGTGTGTATTGTTGGTTGGAGTAGAGATATAATTTATTGGGACAGAAAGGTCCAAAGTGAGTATTGTTGGTTGGAGTAGAGATATAATTTATTAGGACAGAAAGGTCCAAAGTGAGTATTGTTGGTTGGAGTAGAGATATAATTTATTGGGACAGAAAGGTCCAAAGTGTGTATTGTTTGTTGAAGTAGAGATATAATTTATTGGGACAGAAAGGTCCAAAGTGTGTATTGTTTGTTGGAGTATAGATACGATTTATTGGGACAGAATGGTCCAAAGTGTGTATTGTTGGTTGAAGTATAGATATAATTTATAGGGACAGAAAGGTCCAAATTGTGTATTGTTGGTTGGAGTATAGATACGATTTATTGGGACAGAATGGTCCAAAGTGTGTATTGTTGGTTGAAGTATAGATATAATTTATAGGGACAGAAAGGTTCAAAGGGAGTATTGTTGGTTGGAGTATAGATATGATTTATTGGGACAGAATGGTCCAAAGTGTGTATTGTTGGTTGGAGTATAGATATGATTTATTGGGACAGAAAGGCCCAAAGTGAGTATTGTTGGTTGGAGTATAGATATAATTTATTGGGACAGAAAGGTTTAAAGTGAGTATTGTTGGTTGGAGTATAGATATGATTTATTGGGACAGAATGGTCCAAAGTGTGTATTGTTGGTTGGAGTATAGATATGAATTTTGGACAGAAAGGTTCAAAGTGAGTATTGTTGGTTGGAGTATAGATATAATTTATAAGGACAGAAAGGTTCAAAGGGAGTATTATTGGTTAGTGTAGAGATATAATTTATTGGGACAGAATGATCCAAAGTGAGTATTGTTGGTTGGAGTATAGATATAATTTATTTGGACAGAAAGGTTCAAAGTGAGTATTGTTGGTTGGAGTATAGATATGATTTATTGGGACAGAAAGGTTCAAAGTGAGTATTGTTAGTTGGAGTATAGATATGATTTATTGGGACAGAATGGTCCAAAGTGAGTATTGTTGGTTGGAGTATAGATATGATTTATTGGGACAGAAAGGTCCAAAGTGAGTATTGTTGGTTGGAGTATAGATATAATTTATTGGGACAGAAAGGTTCAAAGTGAGTATTGTTGGTTGGAGTAGAGATATAATTTATTGGGACAGAATGGTCCAAAGTGTGTATTGTTGGTTGGAGTATAGATATGATTTATTGGGACAGAAAGGTCCAAAGTGAGTATTGTTGGTTGGAGTATAGATATGATTTATTGGGACAGAATGGTCCAAAGTGTGTATTGTTGGTTGGAGTATAGATATGATTTATTGGGACAGAAAGGCCCAAAGTGAGTATTGTTGGTTGGAGTATAGATATAATTTATTTGGACAGAAAGGTTCAAAGTGAGTATTGTTGGTTAGAGTATAGATATTATTAATTGGGACAGAATGGTCCAAAGTGAGTATTGTTGGTTGGAGTATAGATATAATTTATTTGGACAGAAAGGTCCAAAGTGAGTATTGTTGGTTGGAGTATAAATATAATTTATTGGGACAGAAAGGCCCAAAGTGAGTATTGTTGGTTGGAGTATAGATATAATTTATTGGGACAGAAAGGTCCAAAGTGAGTATTGTTGGTTGGAGTATAGACATAATTTATAAGGACAGAAAGGTTCAAAGGGAGTATTGTTGGTTGGAGTATAGATATAATTTATTTGGACAGAATGGTCCAAAGTGTGTATTGTTGGTTGGAGTATAGATATGATTTATTGGGACAGAATGGTCCAAAGTGTGTATTGTTGGTTGGAGTATAGATATGATTTATTGGGACAGAATGGTCTAAAGTGTGAATTGTTGGTTGGAGTATAGATATAATTTATTGGGACAGAATGGTCCAAAGTGAGTATTGTTGGTTGGAGTATAGGCATAATTTATTTGGACAGAATGGTCCAAAGTGAGTATTGTTGGTTGGAGTATAGGCATAATTTATAGGGACAGAAAGGTCCAAAGTGTAAAAATTATAAAACATTAGACTAGGATATCTTTTAACAAAACTATGGATTTAGGACAGTTTGACCACATCTTCCTCTTTTTAATGTATATTTTTATAATACAGGGTATGTGGTACAAACTTTAATGCCGATGTAGAAGTATGGGACAGTTCACCTGATGAGCTGAGCAATGCCATGATAATTAGATTTGACAGTAACACATACTCATCTACGGCAGCATCAAAAGGATTCTCCATTAAAGTTACATCAATTGGAAAAGGTATGTATTTACAAGTGTAGGTATCTCTACATTGAATTGTTAGCTACTTGCAGTACTGGGAAGGTGGTTTATTTCTATGCTACATTGTAAGCCACTTACAGTACTTGGGAGGTGGCTCTAGTTGTATGCTACATTGTAAGCCACTTACAGTACTGGGAAGGTGGTTTATTTCTATGCTACATTGTAAAGGATCATAGATTTATTCTTACGAGGAAGCTCAGAGCATGCTCGAAGGATGCTCAGAGCTTTTTAAGTAGGCTCTTCTCAGCAGTTAATGTGACAATAATTTTCATGATCCATTAAGATGTCAATCAAATCTACACCACTTCTATGATAAGGAAAGTAGAGCATTATAGAGGATGCTCCATAAACACCTGTGTAAACATCTGGTCTATTCTAATACATTTTGCATTACATTTTACAAAACTATAAAATAGATTAGAAATTCTTCAACAGTGCTGTGTAATGCTTAGGAAGAAATCTCAAGTCTCCACAAAAAGTAAAAGTCATTTAAATATTTTCTTATTATATTTAATAATCATTCCTTTTTTTATAATAAAAAAATTCCCAAATTTTATAATTAGATGATATGATTTAAATATAGTTTATATTATATAATATGCTACATAAAAGTTATCAAGACACAAACAACAGTCAGGTGGCAATACTAAACAAGTAACATTTTTTAGTCACTTTTATAAATATTTTTTGTTTTTAAGAATTATTTAATAACTCAATAGTTATTTTAAATGACAAATAAAGCATGGACTAAATGTAGTTTTCAAGAATTTTTATATCATTTCATTAAATAAAATTAAGTATTTATCCAATTTTAGATGAGTATATACAGGTTACTTTAAAAAATAATGACAAAAATATTACTTTAATAAATTATTTTATACAACTTCAAAAAACTTAGTACTTACAATTATTTAAGGAATATATGTAATTGCTTTCGATTAAGATTCAAATTATAAATAACTTCAAGTCTTAATTAAAGGTTCCATATCTAGTTATAACTGTCTATCTCTAAGATATTAAGGGGAAATGATATTATAATAGCCCCAAGAGGCCAATCTTTGACCAAGAAGTGTGGCATCAGAAAAGCAATTAGTGCTTGTTGAGGATTTAAATAGCTTTACCAGTATATTTCATGGGGAAAATAACCAGATGTCTGTGAAAATTTGTTAAAGCTAGTAAAACCTGTATGAATGAACACCTATAAAAGTAATATAAACAGAAGTTACTTATTCATGATATAGAAGTAATATTTGAAACAGTCTTGTTTTCAACATAACTTGTATAGGTAATTTTGAAAATTACTTGTTTAAGTAATGCCCCTAACTAAACAATGGTAATATGTTTTTTTTAAATAGCAAACTAAGTTCTTTTATAGAAAATTATGGCTACTTTAAGAAAAGTTTTAATTCATCAGTGGATGCCTGGTTTGAGGGGGTAATACCACCATTGTTTTCCCTCTAGTACGTCTCTCTTTACTTGGCATTTTTTTTTTAATTGTGCAGATTTAGCTTTGTTTTAAATAAAGAAATACTTGGCATGAGTAAAATTATTTTCCTCCTATAAGTCTTTGTTTAATTGTCATGATTGTTATATTTCAAAAAAAATGTGCAGAATTTATCTATGTTTTAAATAAAGAAATACTTGACATAAATAAATGTCCTGTACTACAGTGAAAATATAGCATATCTTTTCAGTGCATATAAGAAAATAAACATCACCAGAAGTTAACCAATCAAATTCTCTCCCCCTTTTTTCCCTGTAGAATATAATATATTTTTATTGCTTTGAAACACCCAAGAATCATGTTTGCGTCTCAAAAAAACTTTTCTGCAATGAAATGGAGGATTTATTTCAAACAACTGTCAAATTAAATGGAATATAAAAAAAGATCAACCCTTTTTCGTATGAAACTGAATGTACTATGTTTTGGTAGTATGGTTATAAATCAATAACCATAGTTTGTGTCTTTGATGACTTTTATATTTCATTTTATATAGTATAAATTTAAAATATATTTATATTTCAAATATAAAATTTGAGTGTTTTTTTTATATCATGTGTATTGAAAAAGAATGATAATTAGTAAGAAAATGTTTTTTAAATCATTTTCTTTCTGTGAAGACTTGATACCAAGCATTATACAGTAATATTGAAGAATTTCTCATCTATTTTATAGTTTTGTAAAATTAATGCAAGATTTGTTTGAATAGACCAGATGTTTACACAGGTGTTAATGGAGCTTCCTCTATAATGCTCTACTTTCCTTATTATAAAAGTGCTATAGATTTGATTGACATCTTAATGGATCATGATAATTATTGTCACATAAACTGCTGAGAAGAGCCTACTGAAAAAGCTCCGAGCATCCTCAGAGCATGCTCGGAGCTTCCTCGTAAGAATAAATCTATGATCCCTAAGCCACTTACAGTACTTGGGAGGTGGCTCTAGTTGTATGCTACATTGTAAGCCACTTACAGTACTTGGGAGGTGGCTTTAGTTGTATGCTACATTGTAAGCCACTTACAGTACTGGGAAGGTGGTTTATTTCTATGGTACATTGTAAGCCACTTACGGTACTGAGAAGGTGGCTTTAGTTGTATGCTACATTGTAAGCCACTTACAGTACTGGGGAGGTGGCTTTAGTTGTATGCTACATTGGAGGCCACTTACGGTACTGAGAAGGTGGCTTTAGTTGTATGCTACATTGTAAGCCACTTACAGTACTGGGGAGGTGGCTTTAGTTGAGTTTTTAGATGGAAATGCTTAATAAAAGTTTTTTGGGATATATATATTTATACTTTTTAAATTTGGATATTAAGGCCACATGACTCTAATTGGCCATGTATGCTATTGCCATCACATGGCATCCATTATTGTTGTTTAAGCATGACTGACATGTATTGTATGGGTGTGACCTGTAAATTTACCAGCTCACCACAGATGTGTTAATGACATATTCAGATTATCAAACAACCTAAGATATCAATGTCTGATCTGTTTCCACCCGTATTCTAGTGCCATGAGACTTCCAATATCTAAAATGCTAAAATTTCTTCTGAAAAATGCCAAATTCGATTATTGCTTTGGAATAAATTTTTTAATTCAACTTAAAAAAAGTTTTATGACCTGACTTTTCTTCCTCTATTCAGGTCATGACCTGCATTTTCATTGTCACATACCATTTACTAGCTCTCTGGTAGGCAAATAATCAATTATCCTTTGACACGTGAATGAGTAAAATACATTTCTCAATAATATAAACCATAATATGTTAAAAGGTTTATTATAGAATAATCTAAGCCTGCCATAACAAGTTAATGGCATAAAAATTAAGTTTAAAATGTTCACAAATCTCCTTTATTCCATTTGCCAAATAAATAAAGCAACAGTTGAAAACGATTTGATAGTAGAAAAAAGAACTGAATCAAAATTAACTTAATATTTGTTCAATTGTTTATATTAGCATTAAAGTTGTTGATGACTGGTATTATTTTTCAGGATGTGTCAGCAACCCTTGTGTATATGGAAAATGCAACAGCCCTGAGGGTACCAGTACCTATACATGTACATGTAACCAAGGTGTATCAGGGACAAACTGTGATCAATTTAGCAGTGAGTATTATGTTACTGGTACTGTTACACTGGCCGAAAGGCCAAGTGAGCTACTCATCACTTTGCATCCATCGTCCTCTGTTGTCCTCTATTACTATTGGGAAAATTTGATTTAACTTAGAAAATGTGTTTGATGACCCCCACCTTCAAACCAAGATGGCCAACTTGGCTAAAAATAGAACACAGCCCGGGGGTAAAATGCAAGTTATACCTATTGTTTTGAAAATTGCTATGCATAGACAAATTTTGACAGGAGCAAAATTGTTCAGAATGTTAAGTTCTACAGTACTTTAATTAAATTGCCTTTTTGGGGCTTAGCTGTCTAACGACTTCTTATAGGAGTTATTGCCCTTCAGTGACGAATTCTACCATTTTTTTAAAATGTTTTCCTATTTTCTAGAAAATTATAATAGATAGACAGAAGCTTTAAAAAGCAAAAATGAACAGAAGGACAAGATCTACAAAATAAGTCAATGACAAAAATCGTCAGACGACTCCTTAGTAGAATTATTGCTCTTTTCTGATGATTTTTACCTATTTTTTGCATTTTTTTCTTATTATATCTTAATAGATAGGTAAAAACAATACAAGGAAAAATGATCAACAAGACAAAATCTACAAATGTCTACAGGACCAAAATCGTTGGTTGACTACTTATTAAAGTTATTGCCCTTGAATGCTGATTTTTTTCAACTTGTGCCTTTTGCGAAATTGATTTCTTTGTTGAAACAGTGAGATAAAAGGTTGAACTCTAATTAAAAATTGTTAGCAAACCAGAGAAAAATTGTTTCAGGCATGTTTTTACCTCCCAAAACTTTTGAATTTTAGGGGTTGTAAAATAAAATTACATATACAAATAAATTTGTGAAAAAGATCTAGATTAAGGGGAGATCATTCAAACCTTGAAAAGAAAATATAAATCTTACAAATTTACTTATACAAGTATATAATTACTTACATCTTTAAAAAGTAAACAAAAATGACTTGTGTAAGTATTACCCCTGACTGATTGAGTCCATGCAAGTACCAGAAAAACATTTACATTAAAAGATGCTGTTCATATGAAAAAAACATCTGGGTAAATATTTAGCTGGTTTTCACTCTCACTGAATACTGTGGATTCATTATTATTTGTTGGATAACAATTTTTGTTTATTTCGTGGGTACAGGTGAATCCTGAAATTAAATATTCAGCGAACGACACATTTTCTATATGCTTGTATGCAAACTTCTGCAAAACCAATGAAATTAATTATCCACGAACATGTAAGTTTTCCTCAATCCACAAAAATTGGTACCTATGAATAAACAAATCCACATTATTAATTAGTCTTGATACCAAAGTTGACCAAAATCTATACATCTCATGAAATTCAAAGAAGTTGCTCTTCTATGATGTCATAATTGTCGCCATATAGACTGTAGGGCGCTAATGCTGTGTAAAGCAAACATCAATCAATCTTTGATGTCACAGATGAATTTATTGTGATGTTACAGAGCTGCTTGTGTTTAGTTTTGTATTGCCTCAACTGAGACAAATAATTAGTGAAAATCTAAAATCAGAAGTTCAAATCTTAATGAAAAATAATACCCTTGATGCACCCTGTTAAGCAAAATCATACCCTCCATGCACCCTGTCTAACAAAATAATACCCCTGATGCACCCTGTCAAACAAAATAATACCCTTAATGCACCCTGTCAAACAAAATCACTCCATGCACCCTGTCAAACAAAATAATACCTACCCTCAATGCACCCTGTCAAACAAAATAATACACTTGATGCACCCTGTCAAGCAAATGATACCCTCGATGCACCCTGTCAAACATAATACATAATCGATGCACCATGTCAAGCAAAAAAATACCCTCAATGCACCCTGTCAAACAAAATAGTACCCTTGTTGCACCCTGTCAAACAAAACTATACATTCGATGCACTCTGCTAAGCAAAATAGTACCCTTGTTGCACCCTGTCAAGCAAAATAGAACCCTTGTTGCACCCTGTCAAAATAGTACCCGTGTTGCACCCTGTCAAGCAAAATAATACCCTTGTTGCACCCTGTCAATCAAAATAATACCTTCAGGGCACCCTGTCAAACAAAATAATACCCTTGTTGCACCCTGTCAAACAAAATAATACCCTTGTTGCACCCTGTCAAAGAAAATAATACCCTCATTGCACCCTGTCAAACAAAATTATACATTCGATGCACCATGTCAAGCAAAATAGCACCCTTGTTTTACCCTGTGATGTTATTAGTGTTTATTGGAATAATAACTATGACATTTTTTATTATTTTTTAGCATCCTCTCCAATTCATTGTACATTTGAGTATGGAGAAAAATGTATTTTTGAGAATGAAGCAAGTAATGCGATAAATTGGGACTCTAACAGTGTAAGTTTAGAATTATATGCATTTTTATAAATAAAAAAAAACCATTTTTTTAGGTCCTTTTTGGTCATATAGCTCTTAAACTGTTTTGTGGTTCTTTAAACATCCTTGACTTTCAAATATTTAGCTTTGAACATTCCTGATGAAGGTAAATCCAGAAAAGTGTTGTTTTCATTTTTGAAGGGATTGCAGGTAATTTATTCTTTGAAATATAGTAATTTAAACAGGGATTGCAGATTGTCTACCACCTTTCTACCTCACCTGCCATTGAAATACAGTCATTTAAACAGGGATTGTCTACCACCTTTCTACCTCACCTGCCATTGAAATACAGTCATTTCAACAGGGATTGTCTACCACCTTTCTACCTCACCTGCCATTGAAATACAGTCATTTAAACAGGGATTGTCTACCCCCTTTCTACCTCACCTGCCATTGGAATACAGTCATTTAAACAGGGATTGCAGATTGTCTACCCCCTTTCTAGCTCACCTGCCATTGAAATACAGTAATTTAAACAGGGATTGCAGAGTGCCTACCCCCTTTCTAGCTCACCTGCCATTTATTGATGGTCAGTAACTGGATTAAAGTACCTTTGCCTTATTTTTAGCTTGAATTTTCAGTAGTCATATTGTCATGCTGATTATAAGGTGCACAGTTTTCTCTGCTTTCAAAATTTTTCTCTTTGAACCTGTCCTGGTTTTCTTAATACAACCAAAAAATTACATGTGACATTTTTACTATTGATATCTGTATTGAATTCAACCGGAGCTTGTTAATTATTGGTAATATTAATTATGAAGAAAACAGAAGGGCCTGTAACTTTTTTTTATCAACGCCAGTGTCCTATATTAGTTATAAATAAAGTTGAATTCTTTGATTCCTTGTTTTGACATCATGTTGGCTAACAAATTGGACCTCTTTATTTAAGTAGTATATAAATATTATAAAATAGATAGAATCTTTAAAAAACCAAACTTGTCAACCTATCTTTAAAAAGCAGATTTATGAAAAATTGAGAGGAGGAGTTCTGAATACAAATCAGTGGCAGATCCAAGGGGGAAGGGTTTCTGGTGGTTGGAACCCAATTTTTTTTTATGATCAATGCTTTTAAATGGGGACATATGGTTGGAACCCTCCCTGTATGCTGGGTTGGAACCCCCTTTTAAAAATGGCTGGATCCGCCCCTGCATATTGAGATGGAGGAGTTTACATATGAAAAAAATATGGAAGATAGAACAATTGATATGATTTATTGATATGGCATTATACATAGTCCACCACTTCAATAGATAGTTTTTAGTATGACATAGTTTCAGTTTGAGTTTTTTCCCTTTAGCTCCATATTGGAGGGAAAACTGGTTGAATTATACAAGGCTTAATCATATTGAAATGGTTCAGAAAAAATCTTTTTCAAAAGCCTAGTCTTAAGCTTGGTCAGTGTAACCATTTGAATTTGGTTGATTCATGAAGGAATTTGTGTACATTACCTTTCAACATGGCAACAAAGGGAAATAACTCTAATTCAAATTACTTTTATCAAAAACTTTCATCTACAAGAGGCTTAAGAATAGATGATAGGTAGATTAAGATAGTTTTTGATTTTGATGATTGTAATAGTTTCATCCTTTTTTTTTTTTTTAGATAAATATAGATTTTACCATACCACTCCAATGAATTCAATTATGTATTTATTGACTCAAGATAGTTGAATTTTCAAACTTTGAAATGAGAGGTTTATATTAATATATCAAAAAAGAGAAAAATTTTAATCATAACTGCATAATGGGAAACATTATAGTAGACATTAAATAGATTTACTAGCTATTAAAGCCTATTTATTGTCAGAATATTTAACTGTATAAAATATTATTGTTCCAAGTAACTAAAAATGACATAGTAATTGCAGAGTTCAACTGAATTTTAGTTTATACTGACAGCTATGAAATTTGTTCCCTTACAATTTTTGAAGCTTTCCAAAATTGTTTTTTGCATGAATTGCATTATTTTTATTATTATATTTTCTAATAAATAGCAAGGCACACCATCAAGCAATACAGGACCAGACAATGCTCATGAAGGGTTCCAGTACGTGTATACAGAGGCATCAGGAAGCAATAAAGTAGCTGGTGATAAAGCTGTGTTCTCTACCAATATACAGTTACCGAGTAAGATAAGAAAAAATAACAAGAGTGTAGCAGTCACTTAGAAATGACATACAATTCACCTTTCAGAATTCAAATGACTTGGGGTAATTTCATTGTTCCTACCCCGAAACAAAAATAATGTAATATCATTGGTTGAATTTCCAGTGATTATATGATGTTGCTAGCCAATCAAAACTTGTTGATGCCCTCTTTTTAGAATATTACCAAGAATTTATCAGACTCTCAAATGGCAAAATCCACTTAAACCAATTTTAGTTCCACAGAGTTTTTAGTGAAAAGATCAAATAAAAAAGTCAAGCACAAAAAGCCACTAAGAATTTGTTTTTGTCAGTGTCATTTAATATGCTGTCATGGAATGGTGTTTATGGCAGACAGGAATCTGTTTTAGCACATTGTTTTGTAGGCATAGATCCCTGTATGAAGCTAATATTGTTACTTTTAAAACATGGCTTTTTGAATTTTTATGCCCCACCTAGGGGCATTATGTTTTCCGGTCTGTGCGTCCGTTTGTTCGTTCGTTCCTCCATCCGTCCGTCTGTCCCGCTTCAGGTTAAAGTTTTTGGTTAAAGTTTTTGGTGAAGGTAGTTTTTGATGAAGTTGAAGTCCAATCAACTTGAAACTTAGTACACATGTTCCCTATGATATGATCTTTCTAATTTTAATGCCAAATTAGAGTTTTGACCCCAATTTCATGGTCCACTGAACATAGAAAATTATAGTGCGAGTGGGGCTTCCCTGTACTATGGACACATTCTTGTTTTTCTTTGTTTCTTATGCCACTGTTGGCCTTTTGTAGAATACTGGATTCATTTATTTTTGTGGGTACCAATTTTCGTGGATTGAGGAAAACTTGATTTTTCATGGATATTTGATTTCGTGGTTTTGTCAAAATCTGCTTACAACCATAAAGAAAATTTGCAGTTTGTTGAACATTTAAATTCGTGGTTCCCCTATACCCACGAAATTCACGAAATTTGGTATCCTACGAATAATAATGAATCCACAGTAGTGACAAATTTTGAACACTATATCATGACCCTTTGACTGGTTATAGTTGACCATACCATACTGCCATTTTGATTTGACTATTTATGTAGGAGTTATGGGACTTTGATTATTTATTGATGACATCTTGTGAATTTTAACATATGTTATTCAGTTCCATACTTAGTGAATGTGTAGTTGATAATTTTATACTACCATTTATTCAGAAATACTAAGTAAATGTGTAGTTGACAATTTCATACCACCATTTCTTCAGAAATGCTTAGTGAATGTGTAATCTTATACATTGTAGCTACTAGCCGCTGTATGACGTTTTATTATCACATGAAGGGTTCTACCATGGGTACCTTAAATATATACTCTGAGGGATCAAATACAGCAAAATCTAATATATGGACACGGTCTGGAGCTCAAGGCAATGATTGGATCAAAGGAGAAGTAGACATACCTGCCATTAATGGTCTCAAGGTAAGCAGCTTCTGTGATGGATGAGGATGATGATGGATGGCTGCTTTATGTCCAGCGGCAAATTAATATGCATATTCAGGACGAGAACATGTTAATGTAATATGAATATTAACCCTGCTTGTACTAGACCAACACGTTGAGCCGAATTTTTAGCGTGCTAGTTCACAAGGTAACAGTCCGCAGGAAGACATGTCACCCTACCCTGACAAAGTATTCTGCCTCCCGAGTCGACCAGTCTTTACTCTTACTTTTTAAAGTCATATGAAACGAGTTTCTTGAAATTTTAATGTTATCAAAATTATTGAACCAATGCATGCATATATACTAAACTAAGTCTTGCATGCACGTTTTTAGCTCACCGGGGCCCGAAGGGACCCATGTGAGCTTATGCCATCACTTGGCGTCCGTCGTCTTCTGTCGTCGTCTGTCGTCGTAAACTATTTCAAAAATCTTCTCCTCTGAAACTACTGGGCCAAATACCTTCAAACTTTAACTAAATGTTCCTTAGGGTATCTAGTTTATAAATTGTATCCGAAGTTTTGATCCATCGACAAACATGGCCACCATGGCTAAAAATAGAACATAGGTGTCAAATGCAGTTTTTGGCTTATATCTCAAAAACTAAAGCTTTTAGAGCAAATCTGACAGGGATAAAATTGTTCAGTCAGTCAAGATCTATCAGCTCTGAAATTTTCAGACGAATCGAACAACCCATTGTTGGGTTGCTGTCACCTAATTGGTAGTTTTAACAAAATTTTGCAGTTTTTTGTTATTATTTTGAATATTATAGATATATATAAACTGTAAGCAGCAATAATGTTCAGTAAAGTAAGATCTACAAAAAAGTGAATATGACCAAAATTGTCAATTGACCCCTTAAGGAGTTATTGCCCTTTAAAGACAATTTTACACAATTTGTTCATCAAGTTTGCTAACATTTTAAAATCTTCTCCTCTGAAATACAGGTGAGCGATTCAGGCTCTTGAGAGCCTCTTGTTTATATTTATTACACATCTATAACGTATTATAGACAAATAATATTTCATTTTGTGGTTGTTGATCGCAAGCTAATTAACTTTCAAAGTTTGTTGCCGAAGTTTACCAGATCGTGACATTGATAAACAATGAAAACAGAGCACATGGAAAGCGTGACAGATAAGTGAATTGAAAGAGCCAATACTTTTGTTTTTATATGTTCCATGTGTTCCCATTTGTTAATTAAATTAAGTTATTTTTTAACAGTTTTTAAATGATTTGTTGTATTAAATTTGTTCTTTAAGAATCTTTTATTTACATTTACCTTCAAGAGCATGTGTGTTTACATTCTTTCATCATGGTTTTCTCCTCGCACTTGTGCTGTGCAGTGGCCGAAGTTCTAACGAGAGGTCTTGTAGTTAAGGTCACTGCATACAGAAAAATATCGGCAAATTAGTGTTCCTGGAAGTCAATAATTCAATAGCGCCACATTTATGAAGATTTTGATAATATAAAGGATTTTCTTTAATTCATGTTCACTTATTTTAGAGTAAAACTTAGCCATTCAAATGTTCAACTTTAAAAAAAAAATTTAAGTTTCTTATGACTTTTATGCTGTTTGCTTAGGGGAGAAGCAGCAAATACTAATTTTAAAGACTTTGGTTTGAACCGACATGGGTTTGAACCCATGACCTCTCATGCTTGAGGCAAACACGGTACCACAAGACCACTGAGGTCATAATTTTTTTGGTAATTGGTTGATTGATTAATTTTTGTCTCGCTTTGATGAAGTCAAACAGCACACCTTAGTATTGCATGGACAAAATTAAGAAAGTGAAGCATGGCACGCTTTTACCAGCATCTGTGGCTACACATGCAGGGGCTTCTGCAATGTATTAGTTTGTGATTAGGTCAGTTTATTGGGAACTACTAGTGGTAGGTCAATGCTATTTGGTATGCAGTTGTATTAGCATTGGCACATCTCATTTCCTTGGAGACTATTTGACCCTCCCCCTCAGTCATGTTCTATTGAATTTGAAACCTTTGAGTTGTTTTACATGTATAAGTTTATGAATAGGTCAGTTTAAGGGGACAACTAGTGGTAGGTCAATGATATTTGGTATGCAGATGTATTAGAATTGGCACAACTCCTTTCCATGTTGATTATTTGGATTTGTTCTGCTATTGACTTTAATTGTTTTGCATAGGTAATTTGTGATTAGATCAGTTACAAGTGAGCCACTAATATTAAGTGAATGTTATTTTGTTTGCGGTTGTTTAAGTATTAAATCTAATTTCCATGAGATTATATGGCCCTGCCTCCTCATCATGGTTCATTGATTTTAGATTTTTTTCTTATTGTGGCATATTTCTCACATATATATCAGATTAGAGTTATATTAGTCCATATTAAATGATTGTCACACATTTTACATAAACTCTTATTTATTTCTACAGGTTTTTAGATTTAAGCTATGAGATGAATTGTAAATATAATTTACCATCTAAATAAAATTGAAACCCATAGTATTTGATGATTTCTCAGGGAAACTCTACCTTAAACAAAGTAAACTTAAAAGTCAACATTATATAAAGTGATGACAACTACTGAAACAAGAAAATATTAGTATAGTTCAAAGAATTTTCTTCACAAAATGTGAAAAATGCAACATAAAAGAATGAATTGAACTATTAACGATTATGATTGCAGTTTAACATTACCTTACCTTAACCTTAATACCTTAATACCAGAAGTCGCATAAGGCCTCCACACTGCAGTTTAAAATAAGATATACAGTCAGTCAGGGGTATTCATATTTTCTTATAATGTTTGAATAATCTCCCCTTAATTTTCTTAAAAAAATTACTTGTATAAGTAATTTTGTTTTACAATCCCTAAAATTCTCAAGTTTTGGGATGTAAAAACATGCCTTCAACAGTTTTTCATTGATTAGCTCATTATTATGCCCCACCGTCTGTCCCGCTTCAGGTTAAAGTTTTTGGTCAAGGTAGCTTTTGATGAAGTTGAAGTCCAATCAACTTGAAACTTAGTACACATGTTCCCTATGATATGATCTTTCTAATTGTAATGCTAAATTAAGAGTTTTAACCCCAATTTCACAGTCCACTGAACATAGAAAATGATAGTGCGAGTGGGGCATCTGTGTACTATGGACACATTCTTGTTTTTTATTAGAGTTCAATGTTTCATCTCATTAATTCAACAGAATAAGTTATTGCTCAAAGATCTTAAGTACCGGTAATTGTGCAAGGCCTTCAAAAATTGCCACCTGGAGGCTTGTAAATGAGCAGTGTTTTGAAGATAACAGACTAATGAGATTTTCATTGTCCATGAAATTACAATGATTAATTAAATCATCTGCAAAGGAAAGACAATTGAAAATTCTATTAGAGCAAAGAAGTTATGAGAAATTCAAGAAAAGAAGATACTGTGGATTCATTTATTTTCGTGGGTATCAATTTTCGTGGATTGCTGAAAACTTTCATATTCGTGGATATTTGATTTCGTGGTTTTTTCCAATCTCTGTATTCAAAGCCTATTCAAAATATGTTATTCGTTGAACATTTGAATTCGTGGTTCCCCTGTATCCACGAAACCCACGAAAATTGGTATCCAACGAATATTAATGAATCCACAGTAATATGACTTTTTTACTTGTAGAAGTAAAAAATCTGAAAGTCTAAGGGACATAACTAAGCCATTAAAATAATTTACCTATACAAGTAAGTAAAGTACACTTGTATAAGTATCTTACCAATTTACTTATATAAGTATATTAATATCGACTTCAAGTAATAAAAGAATATTAATACCCCTGACTGACAGTGTTGCATTGTGACTTGTTTCAGATAACAATTGAAGGTGTTCGTGGATCTGGATGGTCAAGCGATATAGCCATTGACGATTTATCACTTATTCCAGGAACTTGTGGTAAGATTATTACATAGATTTAAAGGGGAGTTAATCAGGTAATTCTCGGAAGTTGTGGTAAGATTATTACATAGATTTAAAGGGGAGTTAGTCAGGTAATTCCAGGAAGTTGTGGTAAGATTGTTACATAGATTTAAAGGGGAGTTAATCAGGTAATTCCAGGAAGTTGTGGTAAGATTATTACATAGATTCAAAGGGGAGTTAATCAGGTAATTCCAGGAACTTGTGGTAAGATTATTACATAGATTTAAAGGGGAGTTAGTCAGGTAATTCCAGGAACTTGTGGTAAGATTATTACATAGATTTAAAGGGGAGTTAATCAGGTAATTCCAGGAAGTTGTGGTAAGATTATTACATAGATTTAAAGGGGAGTTAATCAGGTAATTATTACATAGATTTAAAGGGGAGTTAATTAGGTAATTCCAGGAAGTTGTGGTAAGATTATTACATAAAAATTTAAAGGGGATTTAATCAGGTAATTCTGGAAAGTTTTGGTAAGATTATTTCATAGATTTAAAGGGGAGTTATCAGGATGGCAGGCTGTTTTTCTGTCTCCCATGTGACCTGTTGTGAGGAACATAGAAATAACACGTGTCTGTCCTTATAAGTGCTCTCACATGTACAATTCTTACCAGATTTTTAGCTCACCGTTCCGAAGGAATTGTGAGCTTTTGCCATCACTTGGCATCCGTCATTGTCCGTCTGGTGTAAACTATTTCAAACATCTTCTTCTCTGAAACTACTGAACCAATTCCAACCAAACTTAAGCTGAATGATGCTTAGGGTATCTAGAATAAAGTTTGTGTTTTAAATAACTGTTTCGTCAAATAACATGGCCGCCATGGCTAAAAAAAGAACGTAGTGGTAAAATGCAATTTTTGGCTTATATCTCAAAAACCAAAGTATTTAGAGCTAATCCGATGAGAGGTAAAAACGTTTATTTGGCCAAGCTCTGTCGGCCCTGAAATTTTCAGATGAATCTAACAACCCATTGTTGGATTGCTGCAACTTAATTGGTAATTTTTAGGAAATTTTGCAGATTTTGGTTATTATCTTGAATATTATTAATGATAAAGATAAACTGTAAACAGCAAAAATGTTCAGCAAAGTAAGATCTCCAAATAAGTTTGTATGACCAAAATTGTCAATTGTCCCCTTAAGAAGTTATTGCCCTTTAAAATCAATTTTTCACAATTTGTTCATTTAGTTTGCCCAATTTAAAAAAATCTTCTACTTTGAAACTGCTGAATCAATTTCAGCCAAACTTGGGCTGAATGAGTTTCAGAGTATCTAGTATAAATTTTGTATTTTATTTTCTTGTACGTCAAGAAACATAGCCACTATTGCTAAAATGAAACATAGGGGTAAAATGCATTTCTTTGATTTTGAAGAAAATATGACAGATACAAAGAACATTTCAATGGAAGTTTTATGCCATTCATTAATATATATTGAAAAGCAAAAATAATCATTGATGAAAGATTTAAGCAAAAAATTACAGGTGAGCGATTCAGGCTCTTGAGAGCCTCTTGTTATAAAACTTATATTGTAGATTTATATCAGTAATGTCTATGGCAAGTCAAAAATCAGAATAGATCTAATTTTTTTGAAAGAGTTATGGAATCGTTAATTATATTGGAAATTGCATTGCATTTGCTCTCAAGTTTTCTTTTCTCTAAGGTATTCATATAAACTCTAAAAATCTTTTTTATTTATTGTCCATGGACAGATAAAATATATGCCATTCGAGGCACATTGGTTCTCTGTTCTTCTTTTTAAATGGAAGTTATTTTATTTCCCTGAAGATTGTGTTATCAAATTTTTAGATTATAATAAGCATCTCATTTTATTACTTTTTGAACAAGATAAATAGAAATAAGAATATTTTAAAAAGTTGAAATTATTATTATGTCTTAGTCTATAAAGAAGCCATGGTAATAGTTACATTACTTTGCAGGCAACCCAGTTACAGCTGGTCCAACAAACGCACCAACTACGACTACACCAACTACGACTACACCAACTACGACTACATCGACTACGACTACACCAACTACAACTGCACCAACTACAACTGCACCGACTATGACTACACCGACTAAAACTACACCAACAACAACTGCACCGACTACAACTACACCGACTCAACCAACAGGTAAATATATTGATGTTTTATGCTTACATCTAATCTGTACATCTTTACCAACACTTTGTAGGGGGGAAGGGGGAGGGGAAGTGTTTTTTTTTCGGTGGGGGATTTAGAAGCAGTCTCTTTCATGCTTTTTAGCTCACCTGGCCCAAAGGGCCAAGTGAGCTTTTCTCATCACTTGTCGTCCGTCGTCGTCTTCGTCGTCGTTAGCTTTTTACAAAAATCTTCTTCTCTGAAACCACTGGGCCAAATTTAACCACACTTGGCCACAATCATCATTAGGGTATCTAGTTTAAAAAATGTGTCCGATGACCCCGCCAACCAACCAAGATGGCCGCCATGACTAAAAATAGAACATAGGGGTAAAATGTAGATTTTGGCTTATATCTCTGAAACCAAAGCATTAAGAGTAAATCTGACATAGGGTAAAACTGATTATCAGGTCAAGATCTATCTGCCCTGAAATTTTCAGACAAATCTGACAACCTGTTATTGGGTTGCTGCCCCTGAATTGGTAATTTTAAGGAAATTTTGCCGTTTTTGGTTATTATCTTGAATATTATAATAGATATAGATAAACTGTAAACAGCAATAATGTTCAGCAAAGTAAGATCTACAAATAAGTTGTCATGACCAAAATTGTCAGTCAACCCCTTTAGGAGTAATTGGCCTTAATAGTCAATTTTTAACAATTTTTTGTAAATTTTTGTAATCTTTTACAAAAATCTTCTTCTCTGAAACTACTAAGACAAATTTAACCATACTTGGCCATAATCATTATTAGGGTATCTAGTTTAAAAAATTTGTCTGATGACCCCCGCCTTCCAACCATCATGGCCGACTTGGTTAAAAATAGAACATAGGGGTAAAATGCAGTTTTTGGTTTATATCTCTGAAACTAAAGCATTTAGAGCACATCTGACATGTGGCAAAAATGTTCATCAGATTTAGATTTATCTGCCCTGAATTTTCTAACGAATCCGACAACCCGTTGTTGGGTTGCTGCCCCTGAATTAGTAATTTTACAAAAATTTTGCAGTTTTTTGTTATTATCTTAGATATCATTATAATATCTAATATCTAATACTATTAATTATGATTTTAACCTTATTTTACATGATTTCCAAAGCATCAGTAAATACAGGTGAGCGACACAGACTCTTGAGAGCCTCTAGTTTCCGGTACTACTGAAAATAATGATTTCATATTTGGTCAGCAGATTGAAACTATGTTCACTTTCTAGATCTGTCGGCTACCCATTTCTAGATACTATCTTTTGATTGTAAGAAGCTTCTATCCAAGTTTGGTAAAAATCCAGGATGGTTTATGAATCTAATAAATGTTTTAAAAACCTTAACTGCAGACTGTATGTAATGTTAACTGGAAGAAAAACTAAGTCCATTTATAAGTAATATATATGGAAAAACAGGAAATAAATTTTTACAAAATTTCCTTCTAGATAGTAGCTTTTGATCATAAACAAGCTTCTGTCCAAGTTTGGTACAAATCCAGGATAGCTTAAGAGAGTTATTAAAATTTTAAAAACTTTAACCACAGAGTGAATGTTTTGATTCCTGGCAGAAAAACAAAGTCCATTATAAGTAAAATACAGATAAACAGGAATTTTTTTTCGACAAAAAGGGTTTAAACCAATATCTGAATTACTCTCAGGTTATGTTTCTGTGAGGAAATTCAAACTTATTGTGTATGTGAAGTCCAAGAATTGAAAAAAAGTATTCTCAAGTATCCTTTGAAGCTAAAGAATGAAATGACAAAAGATTTTTTTTTGTGATGAAATACGTTTGTATTTTGAAAATATTCAAGGGTTACACAAAGATTAATGTAAAGAGCCATTTTGTTATACTTTCATGTCTCCATTTTGTTCTTTCTTTTCAGATGGCACCCAGACATGTACATTTGAGGATGGTGCTACATGTTTTTTGGTTGAAGCTACTGATGATGATTTTGATTGGACTCGTAGAGGTGTAAGTCAAAGTTGAAAGATTGTATTGATACGAAATCCAAAATCTGGATTGTCAACAACACACAAACATGGAACAAACATCATGTCTTGTGCTTTAAGGATGTTCACTACTCTTGTATTTTATTTTTTTGTCAGGTATTGGGAACATCTAGTTTTATCAAAATAATGCCAATAAAAATTTGCCCTAGTCTAACCCCTACTTTTCTTTTCTTACTTTTAAAATATATCTAAAATCTAAAAAAGCAATTTTTAAAAATATTATAAAGTCCTTGTTATTTGTTCATAGTTTTTGAAAGAAGAAGGTGCCAATGTTGAATATATGAAAAATCTACAGAAAATCATTTCCTGCCAATGCTGAATATAAGAAAAATCTAGAGAAAATCATTTCCTGCCAATGCTGAATATATGAAAAATCTAGAGAAAATCATTTCCTGCCAAAAAGAATATATGAAAAATCTAGAGAAAATCATTTCCTGCCAATGCTGAATATATGAAAAATCTAGAGAAAATCACTTCCTGCCAAAAAGAATATATGAAATATCTAGAGAAAATCATTTCATGCCAAGAAAAATATATGAAAAATCTAGAGAAAATAATTTCCTGCCCAAAGAATATATGAAAAATCTAGAGAAAATCATTTCCTGCCATAAAGAATATATGAAAAATCTTGAGAAAATCATTTCCTGCCAAATTTTCAATTAATTTTATCTCAAAAACTAGGACATACCCCTGTCATTTTATTTTCTACTTTTTAAGTTTCATTATTTATATACTATCAATTTATAACAGTCTTTAAAAAGCTTGTTATTTTGAAACAGAGGAGTGAACATCCTTAATTCAGTTTGAAAATTAAACTTTTTGTAGTCGATAAATTTAGAATTACACTTTACACACTTGTATCTATATTTATCTACAGATAACTTCTGCAGGACAATTTTTCATAAAACCAATTGAAAACACTTACTGTTGAAAAATTCTTATTTCTACACAAAATTCAATATTAAATTTCTGGACAATTCAGAGCCCCAACCCAGATACAATTTAAAAGTGGCAGAACATCCACACAATATAATATACTGCACTTGTAACACAGCTTGCACACTTCTATTAATCTACAGTCAAACCTGAATATAAAGATCACCTCAGGACCAGAGAAAATTGACCTGTTAATGGAGGCAATCTTTGTATTGATTACTTCTATTAATCTATAGTCAAACCTGTATAGAAAGGTCACCCTCAGGACCAGAGAAAACTGACCTTTTAAGAGAGGCAACCTTTGTTATAATCACTTCTATTAATCTATAGTCAAACCTGTATAGAAAGGACACCCTCAGGACCAGAGAAAACGTGTTGTTTTCTTTTTTTTTCAAACCTGCTTTGAAGCTAAAATTCTTGTCTTGTCAATCTCTTCATGATGAAGTAATACCTAGGCGTTCTGATCATCAATACAAAGGTTGCCTCCCTTATAAGGTCAGTTTTCTCTGGTCCTGAGGGTGCACTTTCTATACAGGTTTGACTAAAGATTAATAGCAGTGATCAATACAAAGGTTGCCTCCTTTAAAAGGTCAGTTTTCTCTGGTCCTTAGGGTGCACTTTTTATACAGGTTTGACTAAAGATTAATAGAAGTGATCAATACAAAGGTTGCCTCCCTTTAAAGGTCAGTTTTCTCTGGTCAAGAGGGTGACCTTTCTACACAGGTTAAACTATAGATTAATAGAAGTGATCAATACAAAGGTTGCCTCCCTTAAAAGGTCAGTTTTCTCTGGTCCTGAGGGTGACCTTTCTATACAGGTTAAACTATAGATTAAAAGAAGTGATCAATACAAAGGTTGCCTCCCTTAAAAGGTCAATTTTCTCTGGTCCTCAGTGTGACCTTTCTATACAGATTTGACTATAGATTAATAGAAGTGATCAATACAAAGGTTGCCTCCCTTATAAGGTCAGTTTTCTCTGGTCCTGAGGGTGACCTTTCTACACAGGTTATACTATAGATTAATAGAAGTGATCAATACAAAGGTTGCCTCCCTTAAAAGGTCAGTTTTCTCTGGTCCTGAGGGTGACCTTTCTATACAGGTTAAACTATAGATTAAAAGAAGTGATCAATACAAAGGTTGCCTCCCTTAAAAGGACAATTTTCTCTGGTCCTCAGTGTGACCTTTCTATACAGATTTGACTATAGATTAATAGAAGTGATCAATACAAAGGTTGCCTCCCTTATAAGGTCAGTTTTCTCTGGTCCTGAGGGTGACCTTTCTACACATGTTATACTATAGATTAATAGAAGTGATCAATACAAAGGTTGCCTCCCTTAAAAGGTCAGTTTTCTCTGGTCCTGAGTGTGACCTTTCTACACAGGTTATACTATAGATTAATAGAAGTGATCAATACAAAGGTTGCCTCCCTTAAAAGGTCAGTTTTCTCTGGTCCTGAGTGTGACCTTTCTATACAGGTTAAACTATAGATTAATAGAAGTGATCAATACAAAGGTTGCCTCCCTTATAAGGTCACAAGTGCTTTTCTGGATTTACCGTCATCAGGAACACTCAAAGCCGAATATTTGAAAGCCAAGGATGTATGAGAACCGAAACAGTCAAAGAGTTATATGACTAAAAGTACCTTAAAAATAGCCAAATCCATCTAAGGTCAACTTTGCCTGAGGGAGTTGAAACCTCAGTTTCTTCATAATTTTAAAATTTATAAAGGGAACAATTTTAGAAATGTTTGTTCTAAACCTTGACTGTACTACTGAAAGTGTCATTAAAATGTAATCTACAGATAGAAACATTCTTCAAAGATAATCTTGGTCACTTTATTTATGTAATTGTATTCAGGGCCAGACTCCATCCAGTGGCACTGGACCACAATCGGCAGTTGAAGGCAGTTGGTACAAGTTTGTAGAAGTATCTTCACCAAGGAGCAGCTACGATGTTGCTAGGCTAGAATCGTCAACGACATTAAATGGTAAATTATACTATTTGTTTTAAGGATGTTCCCTACCCTGTTTCAAAATAACAAGCTTTTCAAAAGACTGTTATAAATTGAAATTGTATGAATAAAGGAACTAGAAAAAGCAGAAAAAATTAAAGGGTCTGTTTGCTTGTTTTCGAGATATAAGCCATTGAAAATTTGGCGGGAAATGATTCTCTCTAGATTTTTCATACATTTAACAAGGATTTTATAAGATTTTCAAATATCGCCTTTATAACTATATGTAATAAAATTATGAAAAGAAAAGTAGGGGTTAGCGGGCAAAATATTTATTAGCACCACATGGATAAAACCAGAGGATTCCGAATATCTGACAGAAATTCAAAAACAAGAGGAGCGAACAGCCTTAAGGAGTTATCAATAAAAAGATATTCTGTGATATAACTTATTGTAGACAACTTACAAGTAGAGTTGAAAAAATGAAGAAAGAAAAGTTTACATCACATGACTAATGAGAATATGCTAGCCTTCCTGTAAAAACCATATAAATGCAAAAAGAAGAAAAAAAAGTTAATGTCTCATGACCAGTGAGAATTTGCCTATTTGATCTTTTGAAAACTATTTTTTCAGCATTGTTACAAAAATATAGAAAATATTCTTTCTTTCTTTACAGCAGGTGACTATTGTTTGACTTTTGAATATCACATGTTTGGATCTGATACAATGGGAGATCTGAAAATATCAACTGGAGTTACAGCCCCTGAAAATGAACTGTTTAAAGAATCTGGTAACCATGATGACCAGTGGAACAAGGGGATGGTTACAATTACTTCTGCGGCAGGAATGAAGGTTTGTTTGTATATGAGATATCTCTACAGAAATGAAATATATGAGGGTCTGGATTGGGTTTACAGAATAGAGAAACAATTAGGGGGGGGGAGGGGTACAGAAAAATATTGATAGAGAAAAAAGGGCTAAAAAAAATATGGAATAGCCCACATGGCTAAAAACAGAACATTTTGTCTAATATTTTGAAAACCTCTATAAAAGAGAAATCTGACAGGGCAGAAATATTCAGAATGTTGAGCTCTACCTATTATTGTTTTTACATCAAAGCTGTCGGACAACTTTTTATAGGTGTTATTGCCCTTAAATTGTGAACTCTGTCTAATTTCTTGAAAGCTGATAAATAGAAACTTTAAACAGAAAAATGATCAGTAAGACAAGATCTCCAAATAAATTCATTATTTTTCATTAGGTTCCTATTTTCGTGGATTTTCAACAAACTAATTTTCTGAAGGTCTGACTCAAATATCCATGAAAATTTTAACCATTTTTCATCCATCAACATAAACTTGAAACCACTGAAAATAAATCAATTCACAGAAAATAGACTGTTTGGTATAATCAAATATCAATTACCATGAAATGGAAAAGATTTCCTAGAAGTTTTATTTTACCAATTAAGATCTATAATTAGGTAATTAAATTTTACAAACTTTTTCTCTTGCAGTTATTTATAGAAGCTAATAAAGCAACAACATGGAAGGGCGATATTGCTATAGATGATATAAAACTAAAAAGTGGGATATGTGATGGTAAGTTAATTACTGTGATATCATACTGTTTACTATACCACATCTAACCCGAATAATTTAGTCCCTCCCCGTAATCGATCTCTCCTACTTGAGAGGGCCTGAATTCCTTACACGATAAAAACTCTTCACAAATCCTGGATTTTAATATGATGCCGTGTTGAAGAGGTGACAAATCAGCAATTGGCTCAATTTTATTGAGATAGGTAAATCCCAACTTATTCCGAATGTTTGATTGAAGATTTCTCATTGTCTATGCAATCAGACGTTAATGAAATAATCATAGGTCAGTGGAATATAACGACTGAATTATTCGTGTTATACCACATCTGGTACCTCAAGTACAAGAAAAACATGTTTTGTAATTAAGGATGTTTGCTCCTTTTTAGCTCACCTGGTCCAAAGGGCCAAGTGAGCTTTTCTCATCACTTGGCGTCCGTCATCCGTCGTCGTCGTCCGTCGTCGTCGTCTGTCGTCGTTAACTTTTACAAAAATCTTCTCCTCTGAAACTACTGGGCCAAATTTGACCCAACTTGGCCACAATCATCATTGGGGTATCTTGTTTAAAAGATGTGTCCGGTGACCTGGCCAACCAACCAAGATGGTCACCATGGCTAAAAATAGAACATAGGGGTAAAATGTAGATTTTGGCTTATATCTCTGAAACCAAGCATTTAGAGCGAATCTGACTGGGTAAAATTGTTTATCAGGTTAAGATCTATCTGCCCTGAAATTTTCAGATGAATCGGACAACCCGTTGTTGGGTTGCTGCCCCTGAATTGGTAATTTTAAGGAAATTTTGCTGTTTTTGGTTATTATCTTGAATATTATTATAGATAGAGATAAACTGTAAACAGCAATAATGTTCAGCAAAGTAAGATCTACAAATAAGTCAACTTGACCAAAATGGTCAGTTGACCCCTAAAGGAGTTATTGCCCTTTATAGTCAATTTTTAACCATTTTTCGTAAATTTTTGTAATCTTTTACAAAAATCTTCTCCTCTGAAACTACTGAGACAAATTTAACCAAACTTGTCCACAATCATCCTTAGGGTATCTAGTTTAAAAAATGTGTCTGATGACCCCACCCGCGATCCAAGATGGCCGACATGGCTAAAAAATAGTACATAGGGTAAAATGCAGTTTTTGGCTCATATCTCTGAAACCAAAGCATTTAGAGCAAATCTGATTAGGATAAAATTGTTTATTAGGTCAAGATCTATCTGCCCTGAAATTTTCAGACCAATCAGGCAACACGTTGTTGGGTTGCTGCCCCTGAATTGGTAATTTTAAGAAAATTTTGCAGCTTTTGGTTATTATCTTGAATATTATTATAGATAGAGATAAACTGTAAACAGCAATAATGTACAGCAAAGTTAGATCTACAAATAAGTCAACATGACCAAAATTGTCAATTGCCCCTTAAGGAGTTATTGCCCTTTATAGTAAATTTTTTACAATTTTCATAAATTTTGTAAATTTTTGTAAATTTTTACAAAATATTTTCCACTGTAACTACCTGGCCAAGTTCATTTTAGATAGAGATAATAGTAAGGAGCAAGAATGTTCAGTAAAGTAAGATCTACAAACACATCACCATCACCAAAACACAATTTTTTCATGAATCCATCTGTGTTCTTTGTTTAATATGCACATAGACCAAGGTGAGCGACACAGGCTCTTTAGAGCCTCTAGTTTATGCCCCCGCCGTAGCGGTGGGGGCATTAAGTTTTACCCTTGTCCATCTGCACTTACCTACGTACATTCGTCCGTACGTCCCAAAATTGGTTTATATTCTCTAACTTGAGTTTGCCTCAACCAAATATTATGAAACTTATACACAATGCTTATTACCACAAAACACAGATCAAGTTTGAATTTTGGTGGCGTCACTTAAATCGTTCTAGAGTTATGCCCCTTTATAAATGGAAAAATTGCAAATATTTTAGTTTCCGTTCTCTTACTTAAGTTTGCCTCAACCAAATGTTATGAAACTTATACACAATGCTTATTACCACAAAACACAGATCAAGTTTGAATTTTAGTGGCGTCACTTAAACTGTTCTAGAGTTATGCCCCTTTATAAATGGAAAAATTGCAAAATTTTTATTTTCTTCTAAATATCAAGTAATTTTTATAAAATTTGAGTTATCTTCCTTTGTCCATGATTATAGTTGAATCAACTACAATCAATGCTTTATACAATGCAATGTTTAATTTTGACTTCCACTGATAAAACACAGATAAAGTTGAATTTGGGTAGTGTCACTTTAACCATTATTGAGTTATGCCCCTTTATAAATAGAAAGATTGCAAAATTTTTAGTTTCCATTCTGTAACTTAAGTTTGCCCAAACCAAAGATTATGAAACCTATACAAAATATTCATTACCACAAAACAAAGATCAAGTACAAATTTTTTGTTTCCATTTTCTAACTTTAGTTTGCCTCAACCAAATGTTATGAAACTTATACACAATGCTAATTACTACATAATACAGATTAAGTACGAAATTAGGTGGCAACACTTATACCATTCTTGAGTTATGTCCCTTTATAAACATAAAAATTGCTGAATTTTTTAGTTTGTCTCAACCAAATGTTATAAAACTTATACACAACCGTTCTAGAGTTATGCGTGTTTACAAATAGAAAATTGCTGAATTTTTAGTTTCTGTTCTCTACTTAAGTTAGCCTCAATCAAATGTTATGAGACTTACACACAATGCTAATTACCACAAAACTCAGATCAAGTTCAAATTTGGGTAGCGTCACTTTTACCGTTCTTCAGTTATGTCCCTTTATAACTATATGATCTGCAAACGGGGGCATCATCTGTGTCCACATGTGGACACTATCCACTTTTATTTGAATATAACAAGCTTTCTAAAAGACTGTAATTAGTTGATATTATATAAATCAAGGAACTTAAAAAGCAGAAAAAATAGAAAGGTTGTGTCCTTGTTTTTTGAGATATAAACAATTGAAAATTTGGCAGGAAATAATTATTCACTCTAGATTTTTCATACATTTAACATTGGCACCTTTTTTCTCTTTAAAAACTATGGAAAAATAACAAGGATTTTACAAGATTTTCAAAATTGGCTTTCAAAACTTACCAGTAATGTAATGATATTATGAAAAGAAAAGTAAGGGTTAGCGGGCAAAATGCCTCAAAAGTAAAACATACCAGAGAAGGGAACATCCTTTAAATTGTAAAATTTAAACTCAGGGAAAATAAACCACTTTATGGTGAGTATTATAAAGTTTTTTCTATGTTTATTAATATATATGTTAGACTCAGATCGACGTCCGGTCTCTAATCAACGTCACATTCTCAAATCATTGTCCAAAATTTTTACCCTCTAATCGACGTCCAATGTGACGTCACGTATTGCCAAAACGATGTCCGAACAATTGTAGTCTTCTCTATTCGATATATAATGCCAAGAAATAATAAATTACTGCACATATACATGTACATGTATAAGACTTTGATTGATTTTGGAACATTCAAATCTGAAATAAAAGACGAATTTTGGTCTGTTTAATAAGGTTCTTATAACAACATAATTTTCATACAGTTACAGACATTCCATAGAGATTGTTTGAACCCGAAATAGGTAACTGATGTATTGATATACATTTGCATAAGATCAATTTCTATCAGACGCAGCGTTGTTGTTATTAGATTGCAGACCTGCAAACTTTTGAAAATCTCCATGGTGGATTTAGTGTGCGACCAGATTTTTAAGGGTTACAATTTTTGCTGCGTATCTCTGTGCACTGTTTTTAAAAGCATTTGCTTTTACTGTCATCGTGTATGGCCATTTTGTTTTATCGTCAAAATAGAGTGCACATGTTTTTCGTTCTACAGTTCTTTCAAGATTGTGTAAAAGTACATATGTATGTGTTTGCTTGACTTTTGTATTGAAAATGAAGCTAATTTGATTAAGCTTTCCTCAAATGCAATATTTAATTGGAAGTTTAATAGTTACCCTTTTGCACAGAAATTTTGATCCACTAAAGGTTACGTAACAGACTTCATATACGAATGCAGTGATACAAGAAATTTGCCGCCTTCTGGCAGCTAATCTCAATCCGTCTTATTACCAGTTTAACGTATACCAACACGGGTAAATATTTTTAACTGATTAAATTTTACTGTTATAAAAGAACTAATAGGTGCTCTCTTGCTTGTTTTTATATCATAATACGTTTGTTATTAAATTTAATCGGAGTATTGTATTGGTTAATCTTACTGTGTTTGCCGATCTGCAGCAAGTCGTTTATTTTCACATGGTAGTTTGTGGTATTAAGATATCCTACCGTAGTCTATAATCGGTCATAATGTTGGTTCGTTCGGATTTTGTTATTGTACTTATCACACGGGAAAACTCCGCATTGATGTCACTACGCTAATACCAGCGTACAAAATTAGTGCAGAATACATTTTTTCTACTCTTCTAAATAAACAAACATTTCTAAAGATATGTTTTCATTGTTATTCTAAAGTATTGTACAAAAATGCAGATTTTCTAATGGCCGTTTCAAACCTGACTTCCGAATGCCTATAAACATTCCAGAACTTCAGAAATCCCCTCTTCTGGCCTCCATTGCTTTGTTTACATTCCATTTAGCGTCATCAATTTTAATGGCAGACCAAACAGGCCAAGCAAATCGTATTTTTAAGAATTTCAAAATAGCAAGCACCTTACGTCTTACGCAATTTTCCCGCGAAAAAAACCCATCCAAATTGAAAGAAAAACCTTGGGAAACACACTATAATCATGCCATATTTTTGTTCAGGAATATAGAGTAGGTCAATAAAAAACAATATACATATATTTTTCATAAAAAAAACAATTGGTTGAATATAAAGAGATCGATATTCTGACCATAAGTAAATATTCATATAAAATTCCATTGATATCAAATTTTATGGCTAATAAAGAGATTTCCTATTGAATAAACCCCCAATTTATTGCAAACTATTTCAAAGCAATATCATACAAACAAATAATATAATTGCCTTGTACTAAAAAATCACCTAATTGACAGTAGAGCAATTTGATTGGATATAACGATTCAATGTGTCAAGTGGTTTTGAAGCCATTAGAATTTGAATGTAAACAAACCGGTTCAGCTGCTGCAGTATGGAACAACATCGTACATTCAGTGACTGAGAAACAATTATGAGTAACCAAGCTTGACAATACACAGTAATAAAAAAACAAAGCTAAGTCTACAGAAAAATAAAATAAAAAATGGCCTGAAGTGCACGACTTACCACCATTGCGGGATATAGCATTACCTGAATGGTTTATGAATTGCCCGGTATTTCGTATGGAAACAGTTTAAAAGTTGAAATTTCCTTCTCAGTTCTGTACGATGTACAGCAAATGCTTTTTCTAGCGCTATAATGCTTTGATTTACTCTTAAAATAGTCTCATATTTCTTTTTTTTTCTTTTGGTATGCTGATGATGAGCTAATAAGCCTTGATTTCTTTTATTTGCATGATTCTTGTACTTATTAATTGGCAATATAACTTAATAGAGAAAGATGGCATAGTAAAAATTAAGGATACAAAGTGAAGACCCCCCTTTTCCCCCTCCAAAGACTTTCTTATCTTTGCACCATGACTCAAAGGACCTAAACCTTATTGTCCTAAAGTTAGAAGGATGAAGACAGATTTTGAGTTAATCTATCAGTATTAATGTGAAAATAGATAAAATTTGAGATATCTTTCTTTGTGTTCAGAGGTGCTCTTACCAGCAGAGGCTTATACGCAGTAGAAGTGAATACAAAATGGTGTCAATTTTAAATCAGAACTGGACAGAAACACGTCTGATTTTAAAAATTTTAACAGATTTCAAGATAAACAATGTTTTCCAATGAGTTCATTACAGTTTTCGTCTTTCAGTTAATTACGATTTTGTCATGAAACTACGGTAAACGTTCGCAAATTGTGATCGTATGATAAAATGATTAAAATTAAATGCTGGCTGACCGATTCTGTTAACAAATTAATTAATTTTGGAGATTGTTATGACCCATCAGATAAGTAAATTACATGTAACAACAAATTATGACACCTGTTGTGACCGTTGATTAGCGCAGGGTGGTAAACTTGTCATGAATATGTTGCCAAGTAAAATTATAGATTTATAGAAATTGATCAGAAAAACTTCAAAATTGGTAACCAATAATTTTTTCTGGTAGATTTTGACTTATTTTACGATCCCTATATCGGGATTCAGGTTGAGGCATGATAATCGGGATGATACCGCCAAAATCGGGATAGTTGGCAGGTCTGAGATTGATATTTATATCAGCTGTTTAGTTTTGTCTTTATTGAAAGCTATTTAAGTTGGTACCAAACACCTTAAATAAAATCAATTTGGCTTGTTTAATTTTCATAAAATTTTGACAATATATTTACCTTGACCCTTTGACAAAAATATAAAAATTTCAAAAAACTTGAATCACACACTTTCTCGGAAAAATTTCATTGGATATATAGCAGTTTGACAAACACAAACACATCAATCTGAGTATTACATATATACAGTGACACCTGTTTTATTTTAGCAAAAAACTGGTCTCATAACACAGGTGGTCTTTTAATATAGGTTCAATCTATATGAAATGCATTACAAAGAGACCTAAAATTAATGGTCTTTTAACACAGGTTTTTGCTTAATACAGATGGTCTCTTAAGCAGGTTTGACTCAATATATATTTGTTATCTATAAATATATATGTTTTATTTTTAGTTAATGAATGTGACTATAGTCCTTGCCAAAATGGGGGATCTTGTTCAGAAACAACAACAGCAAGCGGTTATACCTGTTCATGTTTGGGTGGATTTACTGGACAAAATTGTGAACAAATTGGTAAGTGAGAGATGGAAAAATGACTAGAAGGCAATGTGGGATATTTGTTAAATGGACAGCCCCAAACATCACAGGAAGAAAAGACCCCCAAACTCTAGATCAACCAACAGTCTTTGACATTCATCAATTCTCGGCTGGAAATTCATATTTTTTTTACATTTTTCTATTATTGGGACATTTTGACTGGAAAGGATTTGCAAAACTAAAATTTTGTTAACATTACTTACATGTTTATTGTGTTTAACATATCAACAATCATTTGTTTATTGTGTTTAACATATCAACAATCATTTGTTTATTGTGTTTAACATATCAAAAATCATTTGTTTATTGTGTTTAACATATCAACAATCATTTGTTTATTGTGTTTAACATATCAACAATCATTTGTTTATTGTGTTTATCATATCAACAATCATTTGAGTTTGTGCTTGGGTTACAACATTATATTTTTGATACTTGAGATATCTGATAAACTTTTGATAATGTTTTGATGTCAATCTCAATTAATGTCATCCTATATTCTATAATCTGTCCCAAAGGGCTTACAGTGCTTTGATTTTTTTTGCAGATGGCAAATCAGTATCAGAATTTACTTGTGACTTTGAAGCACAAAATAATTGTGTGTTTGAAAATGTAGATGATGATGATGATTTTGACTGGACTTATAGAGCTGTAAGTGGTTTATGTGAATGACTAAAAGGGGCATTAGCTATTAGATATAAAAAACTGAGATATGATTTTTTTTTATCAGTCATTAATGAAAGTAATATAGTGAAATAATAAATCACTTTAGCAGCCAATTTGGTTCAAATTTGTCAAAGTAAGCTAATATGATATTTATCCACTCGAGACAGTTAATTTTTCAAATTTAAAATGCGATGGTTTTAAATGTTTGATATTTAACTGATGAGATTGGATAAATATCGTATTGCACAAAATGTGGTGGTGGGATTTGTTTCTTTTTAAATGATCTGCAAAAAAGATATGTTCTTTCCATGTGACGTCATAAGACATGGTTGCCTTTTTAACTCACCTGACCTGAAAGGTCAAGTGAGCTTTTCTCATCACTTTGCGTCCGTCGTCCTGCGTCCGTCGTCCGTAAACTTTTACAAAAATCTTCTCCTCTCAAACTACATGGCCAAATTTGACCAAACTTGGCCACAATCATCATTGGGGTATCTAGTTTAAAAAATGTGTCCGGTGACCCGGCCAACCAACCAAGATGGCCGCCATGGCTAAAAATAGAACATAGGGGTAAAATGTAGATTTTAGCTTATATCTCTGAAACCAAAGCATTTAGAGCAAATCTGACATGGGGTAAAATAGTTTATCAGGTCAAGATCTATCTGCCCTGAAATTTTCAGATGAATCAGACAACCCGTTGTTGGGTTGCTCCCCCTGAATTGGTAATTTTAAGGAAATTTTGCCGTTTTTGGTTATTATCTTGAATATTATTATAGATAGAGATAAACTGTAAACAGCAATAATGTTCAGCAAAGTAAGATCTACAAATAAGTCACTTGACCAAAATGGTCAGTTGACCCCTTAAGGAGTTATTGTCCTTTATAGTCAATTTTTAACCATTTTTCGTAAATTTTTGTAATCTTTTACAAAAATCTTCTCCTCTGAAACTACTAAGACAAATTTAACCAAACTTGTCCACAATCATCATTAGGGTATCTAGTTTTAAAAATGTGTCCGATGACCCCGCCCGCGAACCAAGATGGCCGACATGGCTAAAAAATAGTACATAGGGTAAAATGCAGTTTTTGGCTTATATCTCTGAAACCAAAGCATTTAGAGCAAATCTGACACGGGATAAAATTGTTCATTAGGTCAAGATCTATCTGCCCTGAAATTTTCAGACCAATCAGGCAACCTGTTGTTGGGTTGCTGCCCCTGAACTGGTAATTTTAAGAAAATTTTGCAGCTTTTGGTTATTATCTTGAATATTATTATAGATCGAGATAAACTGTAAACAGCAATAATGTACAGCAAAGTTAGATCTACAAATAAGTCAACATGACCAAAATTGTCAATTGACCCCTAAAGGAGTTATTGCCCTTTATAGTCAATTTTTTACAATTTTCATAAATTTTGTAAATTTTTGTAAATTTTTACAAAATATTTTCCACTGTAACTACCGGGCCAAGTTCATTATAGATAGAGATAATAGTAAGGAGCAAGAATGTTCAGTAAAGTAAGATCTTCAAACACATCACCATCACCAAAACACAATTTTGTCATGAATCCATCTGTGTCCTTTGTTTAATATGCACATAGACCAAGGTGAGCGACACAGGCTCTTTAGAGCCACTAGTTTCATGAGGTCACAATAGGAAATTTAGAGGAAAGCAAGAAAATTTGATGTCATAATCAAATTTTGACCAATGAAGAACTGAGATCAAACAAACCACACGTTGATTAAATAACAAATAATCAACAGATCAGAAAAGAGATAAATTGGATAAGAATTAGCAGATTAGAGACAAGAGTCTTAATAAAAAAAAAATGAACCAATGTAAATTCAAAAAGGGGGGAAGTCCATTATACTTTTCAAAATCAAATGCTCGACTAAATCAACTAAGGGAACAAATGGAAGACAACTGTCATATTCCAACTTGATAAGTTACTGCTTTTTACAATCAATGTTGTTAGCATAGATGTATTTAACAGATGGGATTATATGACTTTCAAATTCATGCATTTTCCGGTACATTTTCTTTATCACAATGCTTATGTTATTACCTTACATTAAGAACCGATTGTCATTTACAAGAATTGACCTCAGGTGAACCGTTGTAACTCACTGGAGATTTGTGTATTAGATGGGTTACTGCTGTTTATGCAAAGATATAATTTTGAGAATGAGATTATAGTATCTTTTAGTTTTTGTATAGTTTTTACATTTGACTTTTCATATCTTTTGTTTTTTATCAAGGGGTCAACACCTAGTAGTGGTACAGGCCCTTCTAGTGCATATGAAGGCACACAGTATGTCTACACTGAGGCTTCTTCTCCACGTGTTCAGGGGCACAAAGCTGTTTTGTCGACTGTTAAAACTTTGCTTGCAGGTAAAATTGAACATTAAAACTTGAATACTGTAAACCCAACTTTTTTTCGCGGATACTATATTGCATGTAAAGCTCTTTCTTTCCCTTTTGGGTGGCAATTTAATTTTGGGATTTTCACAAATTTTCTGGAAATAGTTGAATAAGGAACAATCTAAGTTTTACTTTTCTGCGACAATATATATTTGCCTTTGCGTTGTTTTTCTACTGATGAAAGTCGCGATAATGAATTGCTCACGAAAATGAGTTGAAAGAGACCTCACATTTTATAAACACAAGACAATGTTTAGCATCCAATTGGTGAGATATAACTTCAAATACTGTCATTCATTGCCTTAAAATTGACACAATGTTATATTTACTGCAGTTACAAGTAGCTATTGCTTGCAGTTTTACCTCCATATGTATGGTACTCCTGGTACAATGGATGTCAAGTTTGGTAACCGTGGTTCTTCTTCCTCTGTGTGGTCAGTGTCAGGTGACCAAGGAGATCAATGGGCCTTCTATCAAGTGGAATTACCTCCTAGCTTCACGGATCCAGTGGTATAATTATTGTTTATTGTACTTATGTAAAATGCCAGGTTTTGTTTTGGTTAATTAAGAATAGCATTCTTTTGGAGCAAGTGAGCAAGGAAAACATTTTTTTAGCATTACCCTCTTGTAATAACCTTAAAAACTGACAAAATCAATAATTTGAAAGATAAAAATAATAGAACATTCCATATACTGAAATTTAGAAACTATTGTGCGATTTTTATTAATGTAAATAATGCGACTGAATTAGTATTGCAATAATAAATGACATACTCATATCTTATATATATAACTGTACGCAGATTTTCCTGAAATAGCAATAATCAATATTGCATTTTAGTTCATTATATAAAAATACGAAATGACAAATGAACGCAATAATTTCTGAATTTACAGTAATAAATTTTAAAAACTCAAAGCTGTGATAGTGAAAGAAAGGATTGTTACAACTAGAAAAAAGAATTTCCAATTTTGGTGGAGATATCAAAGACAAGAAAAAAAATGATTATAAGAAAAGTTAACAAAATACTTTACAGAAAGTTAAATTATAAGAATTGAGCAAAATGAATTGCACCAAAAAGGGGAGGGGAGATAATTGTGATAAAAGATCTATTTTAGAATATATGAACCTTCAAATGACAGACATGTGATTCTTCTGACGGGAGTCAAAATCTCCTGATTTTTAAGCCCTCTTCCCTCCCTCCCATTTATAATTCAAATCTTCCGTTTTTTCAAAATTTCATCACCAAAAATGTTTTATTACCATTGATGTCAACATTAATTACATTTTTGTGTCACTGATGAAGGTAATGTTTACCTGTTAATCAAAGAACTTGTATAATTATATGGCTTCACTTGACAGCTTGGGTGTCAAACATACTACTAATCAATGATTATAATATTTATCTCAGGCTAACTGCTGTTATGTTATGTAAAAAGCTTTGTGTATTTGAAAACACGTAAAAGAAATTTGGGTTACTTCCCTTGTTTAAACCTGTTTATAAGTTACCCTCCTTAAAATAATGTAAATTGATTAAAGAATACGAATGAAATAGAAATTGAACAAAGAATCATAAAGGGCTCACCTGGTAATTTAATGATTTTAAATGTATTAAGACAAATAAGAAGATATTATTTTGAAAATTATTTGAGAGATTCATACTTCTTTTCAATGCTTAAATTGAAATTTACAAATAATGTAATGACCATTTGTATCATTAGTTTGACCGTGCGAGGGCTGTATTGTCAGTGAAGGTTGTTAACTACTGCAATCATCATTATATTTAGTGACAGTATATATGCCAAATCTGTCTGAAGCATAGCAATAATATGGAGTAACACTTAAATATTTATCGGGGAAATGGACTGAGAGACAATGAGGAAAGGATAAAAAAATTACTTACAAATAGTATAGTTTAATGTTAACAAATGTTTCACATGGAACAAAACAGAGAGAAGACATTAAAAGTAATACTGTCAACTCTGTCACATGTATGAAATGACATTCAGGAATTTCTATTTTTAGATTTTCTTTGAGGCAACAAGAGGGTCATCATATAAAGCTGATATAGCCCTTGATTCAGTTAAACTTATCAAAGGACAATGTAAGTATCAAGCTAATATAGTCCTTGGTTCCTTTAAACTTAGTTTGTGAGAATGTAAGTATCAAGCTGATATAGTCCTAATGATTTAGTTAAACTTACTTTGTGAGAATTCTAAGTATCAAGCTAATATAGTCCTTGATTTAGCTAAACTTAGTATGGGACAATGTAAGTATCAAGCTGGTAAAGACCTTGGTTCAGTTAAACTTAGTTTGGGAGAATATAAGTATCAAGCTGATATAGTCCTTGATGTAGTTAAACTTAGTCTGGGACAATGTAAGTATCAATCTGGTATAGACCTTGATGTAGTTAAACTTAGTTTGGGACAATGTAAGTATCAATCTGATATAGTCCTTGATGTAGTTAAATTTAATTTCGGACAATGTAAGTATCAATCTGGTATAGACCTTGATGTAGTTAAACTTAGTTTGGGACAATGTAAGTATCAAGCTGGTAAAGACCTTGGTTCAGTTAAACTTAGTTTGGGACAATGTAAGTATCAATCTGATATAGTCCTTGATGTAGTTAAATTTAATTTCGGACAATGTAAGTATCAATCTGATATAGTCCTTGATGTAGTTAAACTTAATTTTGGGACAATGTAAGTATCAAGCTGGTAAAGACCTTGGTTCTGTTAAACTTAGTTTGGGAGAATATAAGTATTAAGCTGATATAGTCCTTGATGTAGTTAAATTTAATTTTGGGACAATTTAAGTATCAAGCTGATACAGCCCTTGATTCAGTTAAACTTATTTTGGGAGAATTTATTAGAGTATCAATCTGATACAGCCTTGATTTAGTTAAACGTATTTTGGAGAATTTAATTACCTGAAGATACCCTGGTCTTAAGGTACTAATATACAGGGATCTCCACTGAAATAGCTGTTAACAGCATGTGCAATATTGTTGTTGAATAAAAAAACAAAAGCAATCTATCTTCTGATCAGCATGTCTTAAGAGAATAACATCAAATTGTTTTATTTTGTGAAAAAAAATAATTCTTTACATAATTGTTTACACTATGATTCTTTTTTATTTTCATGGGTTTCAATTTTCAGGGATAGAAGAAAAAATTTATTTTTGTGGACATTTGATTTTGTTGTTTTGCATTTAAGCCTGCAGAATTTTTTTTATTTTTTTGCTCACCTGACCCAAAAGGGCCAAGTGAGCTTTTCTCATCACTTGGCGTCAGTTGTCCGTCATTGTCCATTAACTTTTACAAAAATCTACTTAGCCAAAGTTAACCAAACTTGGCCACAATCATCATTGTTGGGTTGCTGCCCCTAAATTGGTAATTTTTTAGAAAATTTCGCAGTTTTTGGTTATTATTTTGAATATTATTATAGATAGAGATAAACTGTAAACAGCAATAATGTTCAGCATAGTAAGATCTACAAATAAGTCAATATGACCAAAATGGTCAATTGACCCCTTAAGAAGTTATAAGGGCCCCGCCAAAAGGCGGACGCCCTATAGTGATCAGTCTGTCTGTCTGTCTGTCCGTCAGTAACAAATTGTGTCCGCTCTATATCTAGAGAACCGTAATGATTTCAAAGTTTATACTTGACATGTATATTAACCAACACCAAAGGGTGTGTCATAATGTATGTACAACTTCCTAGGTCAAAGGTCAAGGTAAAAACTTTGGTTTCAGTTGACAAAATGCAACCCCATGTCCTATGGTAAAGATCGTGTCCGCTCTATATCTTGAGAACCGTTATGATTTCAAAGTTTATAGTTGACATGTATATAAACCAACACCAGAGGGTGTGTCATAATGTATGTACAACTTCCTAGGTTAAAGGTCAAGGTCAAAAACTTTGGTTTTAGTTGACAACCCCATGTCCTATGGTAAAGATCGTGTCCGCTCTATTTCTTGAGAACGGTTATGATTTCAAATTTATACTTGACATGTATATAAACCAACACCAGAGGGTGTGTCATAATTTATGTACAACTTCCTAGGTCAAAGGTCAAGGTCATAAACTTTGGTTTCAGTTGACAACCCCATGTCCAATGATAAAGATACAAATTTTTTACCACACATTATTCACAGCGGGGCCCACAGAGATGGCTTCCATCTCAATGATATCTAGTTGCCCTTTATAGTCAATTTTTTTGTAAATTTTTGTAATCTTTTACAAAAATCTTCTCCTGAAACTACTGAGACAATTTAACCAAACTTGGCCAAAATCATCATTAGGGTATCTAGTTGAAAAAATGTGTCTGATGACCTCGCCTACCAACCAACATGGCATACATTTTAGAATTAGAACATAGGAGTAAAATGCAAGTTTGGTCTATTTTTTTTTCTAGGAGTTATGCCCCTTTGAACTTATTGGCCTCAATATACTACAGACTGTCAGTCCTGTTCTTGTCATGGCAACTCCTCTGAAACCACACAACAGAATTTTATGAAACTTTGTAGATAATAAGGACATACTATGTAGATGTGCATATCGACAGGAACTTATGATTCAATTTTTTTTCTTGGAGTTATGCCCCTTTGAACTTATTGGCCTCAATAAACTACTGCAACAGATTGTCATCGCAACTCCTCTGAAACCACACAACAGAATTTCATGAAACTTTGTAGATAATAAGAACATACTATGTAGATGTGCATATCGACAGGAACTTATGATTCAATTTTTTTTCTTGGAGTTATGCCCCTTTGAACTTATTGGCCTCAATAAACTACTGCAACAGATTGTCATCGCAACTCCTCTGAAACCACACAACAGAATTTCATGAAACTTTGTAGATAATAAGAACATACTATGTAGATGTGCATGTCTACAGGAAATTATGATTCAATTTATTTTTCTAGGAATTATGCCCTTTGAACTTATTGGCCTCAATATACTACAGTCTGTCAGTCCTGTTCTTGTCATCGCAACTCCTCTGAAACCACACAACAGAATTTCATGAAATTTTGTAGATAATAAGGACATACTTTGTAGATGTGCATATCGACAGGAAATTATGATTCAATTATTTTTATACGCCTGTTTATGGGACATATTATGGTATACCTCTGTCCGTCTGTCCGTCCGTCGTCAACATGTCGGACATTAATTCAAAAACGCTTTAACCAATATGCATGAAACTTTGGTGAATTGTTTATAACTATTGACGTGAGCTCCCATTCCTAATTTATAAATTTCAGATGTATCATTTCCGAGTTTTGGGGTTTTATTCATTAAAAAAGGGGTGATTTTCCAGTTTTCGGACAATAACTCAAAAACAATTTCACCAATTTGCATGTAACTTTTGTGAATTGTTCATATCTATTGACATGAGCTCCCTTTTGTTTTTTATAAATTTTGGATTTACCGTTTCCGAGTTTTGGGGTTTTATTCATTGAAAAAGGGAGGATTTTCCAGTTTTCGGACAACAACTCAAAAAAAATTCACCAATTTGCAAGAAACTTTTGTGAATTGTTCATATCTATTGGCATGAGCTCCCTTTCGTTTTTTAATAATTTCAGATTTACTGAGTCTGAGTTTTGGGGTTTTATTCATTAACAAAGGGGGGATTTTTAAGTTTTTAGACAATAACTCAAAAACAATTTCACCAATTTGCAAGAAACTTAAGTGAATTGTTTATTTTTATCGACATGAGCTCCCTTTTGATTTTTATAAATTTCAGACTATACGCTTCCTATTTATGGGGTTTTATTCATTACAAAAAGGGGGATTTTCCAGTTTTCAGACAATAACTCAAAAATGCTTTCAGCATTTTTTATGAAACTTTGTTAAATTTTTGTAAGCTCCCTTTTGATTTTTATAAATTTTCGATTTTATGTTTCCAAGTTATAAGATTTTATTTGTTTATAGTCTGACAACAGATTTACTAAGTATTACGCTACAGCACAGTGTATTGCACAACAGCAAGAAATCTTTCATATAACCAATTTCAAGTTCTTTGACTACATTTATTCAGAAACCTTTAATATATCAAATATTTAATTACAATCCAAATTCAGACCTGTATCAAGCTTGAATATTGTGTCCATTTTTGCCCCAACTGTTTAGGGTTGGACCTCTGCGGGCGTATCCAGCTGCGCTCAGCGAAGCAGTTTATTCTAGGAGTTATGCTCCTTTGAACTTAGAATTTTGGCCTAAATATACCACTGCAACAGTTTGTAATCGCAACTCCTCTGAAACCACACAACAGAATTTCATGAAACTTTGTAGTTAATGAGGACATAATATGTTAATGTCCATATCCACAAGAAAATTTTTATCAGTTGACTTTTTTATTGAGTTATGAGTCTTTGAACTTAGGAATCTGGTGAGATTTTGTTTGTCCAGTGACAATGTGGGGGCGTGGGGTTTTTGAGCTTGCTCACAAAGGTTCTTTAATTACCAATAATGACGTCTAATCAGCAATAGCCTGGCATATTTATAACAGTGAATAAAAATTCGTATTGTGTTTTCTTAACAATTTCAGAAAATTGACAATTAAGTAAAAATTATATAGTGTTGTTGTCAAATTATACCAGGTATTTATTTGCAGATTGGCTATGTATAGAATTGTAGGAAATATATGGAAGATATAATTTCTTTCTTGGTTTATGTTGTTATTTTGCTGGTATTCTGTCCACTTCAGTATAGACAATGTCAGAATAATATAAGATATTTTCAACAACAATTTACATTACGATATTGTCATACCAGTACGCGATTTTGGAGTTTAAATTTTTAGTGTTTGCTTTTTTTTCGTGTGTTTAATTTTGGCACTTTTTGTTGGAGGCTCCAAATAAACCAAAATAAAACTACAACCAAAATAACCCAATTTGTGGTATTAAAAAGTCAAATTTTACCGATATAGTTATAGTACACTGTCACTCTTCATAGGAGTGATTGCCCTTTATTGAGGATTTTTTTTTACCCTCTTTTGTGTTTTGAGCAAAAACTAAAGAAGATAGAGAGAAACTAAACAGACTAAAAGATCAGTAATACAAGATCAACAAAATAGAGATTTTTGTTGTGAAGTCTATTCTTCTCTGCAATGTTGGAGAGTGTCCAGTAAGTTTGATATGCACATAGACCAAAGTGTGCGACACAGGCTCTTTAGAGTGTCTAGTTTAATATTTCAATTCATGGTTTACACGTACCTACAAGTTCCAGCAAAATTGGTATTCAAATAATAATAATGACTACACAGTATTTAATTAAATTTATTAATTGTTTTATCCAACAGCAATTCAGCCCTTGGATTCTTTGACAACTTTTTTCGCAAACAGTATTTCATCAATTTGATTGTTGGATAATTTTCTCTACAGTACTAGAATCTCCTTAAATTTTGGTAATGACCTCATTATGAGCTATTGAAGTCTTCTATGAAATGAAAAGTGGGTGATATGGGGCAAACTATTTTACCGTAAGTCTGACCCAAGTACATTCTTAAGCACTTTGATACTTGAATAATTTTTCTCAAACAGTACGTCAGCACTTTGATTATTGCAGGTCCTGCTCTAAGTGCCTGTACTAGTAACCCGTGTAGCAATGGTGGTACCTGTAATGAGGATGGCAGCACTGCTGGATATAATTGTAATTGTATGATAGGCTGGTCTGGAGATAATTGTAATGTTCAAGGTGAGTATTTATAATAAAAATTAGGGGGAGGGTTGGGATCTTGCTAACATGTTTAACCCCGCCACATTCTGTATGTATGTGTCTGTCCCAAGTTAGGAGCCTGTAATTCAGTTCTGTCGTTTGTTGCTGTGTTACATATTTGTTTTCATTTAGTTTTTTTTTGTACATTGAGTAGGCCGTTAGTTTTCATGTTTGAATTGTTTTACATTTGTGATTGTGGGGCCTTTAATAGCTGACTATGCGGTGTGGGCTTTGCTCATTGTTGAAGGCCATACCGTGACCTATAGCTGTTAATTTCTGTGTTATTTGGTCTTTTGTGGAGAGTTGTCTCATTGGCAATCATACCACATCTTCTTTTTTTATATATATGTTAATGAACTCATCATAAATAACAGGATTAAAATATTTGTGCACATGACGTGCCTATCCTCTACAAAAGACTCATCAGTGATGATCAAATCAAAAAAGTTAAAAGTGCCTAATAAATTACAAAGTTGAAAAGCATGGAGGACCCAAAACTTTGATTGTACAAACATGAATCAAACTTTGTAGTTAACTGTCAAAGGGATCATAAATGGTAGAAGGTTTGATTTGGGTCTATACACTATATATATGGCCCTGAAAAACTTTCAACAACATGGCAGCATGTAATCTTTTCCTGTTTTTCATTCTTTTCGGTATTTTTCATGAAACATCATAAAGGAGCATACAATATCCAACAAATGTGAATCTGACGAGTGTACGATTATCTGTAAATTTGTATATCTGATTTCCCAAAAATATGAAGATAAATAAAACAAACATGCACTTGTTAAAAACAAAAACAAAAATGCTGAAAAATAATCAGTTTTCATTATCTTATTGCAAATTTAAAGGAAGACATATGAGCTGTGTTGGATAGAAATAGACCTTATACAAATGAATATCAATACATCTGGTAACCTATTTGGGGTTAAAAACCTCTCTATGGAAAATCTGTAACTGTTTGACAATTGAGCTATTCTAAGAAAATCTACCTAACAGACCAACATTCGTTTCTTAGTTATGTATTTGAATGTTCCAAAATCAAAGTCTTTCACATGTATATGTAAACATTCACTTGCATAAGGTTGATTTCTATATGAAACAGCTCATATGATAACAAGTAAAATTTTCCATAGAATGTTGGTCTATTGGTCTACTGGTTCATTTGTCTGTTGGTCCATAGACTATTGGTCTGCTGGTCCATTTGTCTGTTGGTCTATAGGCTGTTGGTCCATCAACTGTTGGTCTGTTGGTCTGCTGGTCCATTTGTCTGTTGGTCCATAGACTGTTGGTCTATTGGTCTGCTGGTCCTTTTGTCTGTTGGTCTATAGGTGGTTGGTCTATAGGCTGTTGGTCCATAGACTATTGGTCCATTGGTCTGTTGGTCCAAAAAATGTTTCCTTCCCACTTATCTTGGGTACTACTGTACAGAAGGACTATATATTTTTTGTGGGAGTGTGATAACTCGACAATTCTTTAAAAGAGTCTTTATATTTTTATTAACAGATGTATCTGGAAATGGCTACCTCTGTGATTTTGAGACTACTGCCACATGTATTTTCCAGGATTCAACTCAGGATGAATTTGATTGGACAAGACGTACTGTAAGCTCTTATACAAACCTAGTCTGCTTTAGACAAAAGAAAAAATGACATCATTATAAAAGAGAGGGGAAAGATATCAAAGGGACAATCAAACTCATAAGTCGAAAATAAACTGTCAAGGCCATGGCTAAAAAGATAAAGACATACTAACAAGAATACATGAAAAACAACATGGAAACCAAAGACTGAGCAACATGAACTCTCCAAAAAAGGGGGATGATTATGTTGTTGACTAATCCTTATTTTATCAAGGATTCCTCAAGGATTTTGTGGACAAATATTAACACTCAATGACAGACCTTTTCCATAGAAGGTAGAAAAAAATTGAGAGCAGAGCTCACATTTTTATATATATACCCCTGTTCCATTTTATATGGAGATAATAAGATCAGTGCTTTGCTAATGGTAAACCCTAAAAAATATTTTGATAATAAACATAAAAGTTGAGTTTGTACAAGACAAGATACAAATACCTCTCGTCTCCTTTTATTCATACTAAAAATGTTATTGGACTACTATAAATTCAAAAATATTTGTGTGTATTTATTAATATGATTTTTAAAGATAAACAAAAATACGAGTTTAATTATTGTGATTTTACTGAAAAGCTACCTACAGATAACTTTTATAAAGATAAACAAAAATGAGTTTAATTATTGGGATTTTAGATTTTACTGAAAAGCTATCTACAGATAGCTATATGTATGAGATACCTGAATAAGAGTTCTTATAATTGCAATAATCAAGTAGTGGTATTTTTCTGATTACTAAAAACATCACAATAATTTCTGAATTTATAGTCTTCCAAAAAATATATGGAGAGTTTATTCTTTAGTTTAAAAAAAAAAATACAACACACATGGTGTATCAGTATTTTTTTGGAGCTGATGTTATGGACATTTAATGATAAAGAATAATAAAAAATAATTTTGTAGAGTTCTACTCCAAGTAGTGGTACAGGACCAACAGGTGCAGCCAATGGAAATTACTACATATACACAGAGGCCTCGTCCCCAAGAAGTAATGGTGATACAGCTGTTCTCACAACTGAAGATACTAACTTACCTGGTAGGCTTCTTTAAACTGTATCTTTCTTTATTGAAAATTTAAAAAAAATGTTATTTGGATGCAGAAATTTCTGGGTCCTTATCCTAGTCTCATTAAAAATTAATAGTATATAAAAGTTACGGGTATTCCATTAAAATGTATTTGGGAGGGTAGGAAGGGAAGTTTAATTATTGAATGTGGGTAATGGGTCTTTTTTCAGTATACGTCTATTACCATTATGCAAAATTATCTAAAAAATGGTTCTTGGTTGTAGGGATATTTTGAAAGTCCCTTCCTACCCTTCCACATACATTTTAATGGAATAGCCCTTAGAACTTGTTTGTAATTTAAAGCCTGAAACATGAATTATTAAATTATGATATATCCATAACTTTTATAGTATTTTTTTTTTTATTTTTCTTTTGATCGTACAATATTTGTGAAGATTATGGACAGGACTTAATACTCGAAAATATGATGCCACGTATCTGTGCAGCAATGTAATGTGTTTCTGTTCATTCATACCAATTTATCAATGAAAGGCATGCGACTTCATTCATATAAATGAGCAACTATCACAAAGTTTTGTACGCATATAAGTAGTATTACTAGGTAATTTAAATGATTTCATATTCCCAACCAAAATTTTTTTTTTTTAAAACAAGACGTTCCAAGTTATATAATTGCATTCTTGACAATAGACATCTCAATGATAATTTGTAACCTTACAGTATATTGATAATCCACTTAATCATTTCAGCAAATTCTTGGTGCCTTTCCTTCGAGTATCATATGAAGGGGAGCCCCGGAACATTGGAAGTATTTGCTGGGGATAAATCATCTTCTCTGACAAGTTTCTGGCAAAAAACAGGGGCGCAACCTGATGAAGACCTATGGAAAACTGCTACTATAGACATACCACAATATAGTAATCCTGTTGTAAGTATTATGTAACAATAGAAAACTGTAACTATAGACATACCACCATATAGTAATCCTGTTGTAAGTATTATGTAACGATAGAAAACTGCTACTACAGACATACCATTATTGAATAATCCGGTTCTGCTGCGACTTATTTCAAATAAACATTTAACATTGAACATTTTAGTATAAGTTACGATCAATTTTTGTCATAAGATATTTTTGGAAAAAGACCTTATAATATAAAAAATAAGAAGTGTGGTATGGTACCAATTGATATTAACAGCTATTCGCCAGAGCCCATATAAATTATAAACTCAGAAATTCGTGCATGCATTTATTATGCGATTGAGAAATAACTGATGAAAATGCGAGGATTTGTTACTGTGATATCTGAAAATTTTTCATACAAATAATGTTTAGAATCTAAATCTAAAATGCCAGTTTTTATCTCACCTTGCACTTGGCGTCTGTCGTCTTTAACTTTTACAAAAGTCTTCTTCTCTGTAACTACAAGGCCAAATTTAACTAAACTTGGCCACAATCATCATTGATGTATCTAGTTTAAAAATGTGTCCGATGATCTCGCCTGCCAACCAAGATAGCCGACATGGCTTAAAATAGAACATAGGGGGTAAAATGCAAGTTTTGTCTAAATAAAGAAAATCTGATAAGGGCAAAAATGTTTTGAATGTTGAGCTCTACCAATTGTCATATATGTCAAAACTGTCAGACAACTTCTTTTAGGAGTTATTGCCCTTAAATTACAACTTTTACCATTTTTTTCATTTTTGCCTAGTATCTTGAAAACTGTAATAGGTAGAGAGAAACTTTAAAATGCAAAAGTGATCAACAAGACAAGTTCCACAAATAAATCTCCTTGGTCGAAATTGTCAGTTGACTCCTTATAAAAGTTATTGCCTTAAAATGATGATTTTTACTCATTGTTTGCGTTTTTGCCATATATCTTAAAAATTAACATAGATAGATAAAAACTTAAATAAGCAAAAATGATCGGCAAGACAAGATCTACAATTAAAGACAATATAGAGGAAATTGTCCCATAACTCCTTATTTGAGTTATTGCCCTTTAATGACGATTTTTACCATATTTATGCCCACGCTGTAGCGGAGGGGGCATTAAGTTTTACCCTTGTCCGTCTGTACGTACGTACGTCCCAAAGTTGTTTTCCGTTCTCTAACTTTAGTTTGCCTCAACCAAATGTTATGAAACTTAAACACAATGCTTATTACCACTAAATACAGATCAAGTTTGAATTTTGGTGGTGTCATTTTTACCGTTCTAGAGTTATGCTCCTTTACAAATGGAAAATTTAGCATTGCTAAATTTTTCGTTTCCGTTCTCTCACTTAAGTTTACCTCAACCAAATGTTATGAAACTTATACACAATGCTTATTACCACAATATACAGATCAAGTTTGAATTTTGGTGCTGTCACTTTTACTGTTCTAGAGTTATTCCCCTTACAAATTATTTTTTTTCTAAATATCAAGTAATTTTTAAAATTGGAGTTATCTTCCTTTGTACATGATTATAGTTGAATCAACTACAATCAATGCTTTATACAATGCAATGTTTAATTTTGCCTTCCACTGATAAATTAAAGCAATTTTTACCATTCAGTGCTTACAAGCTGTTTGATTACCGTTCTAGGGTTATGCCCCTTTACAAATGAAAAAATTGCTGAATTTTTCGTTTCCATTCTCTAACTTGAGTTTGTCTTAAAATTAAATGTAATTTCTTAAAATATCAATGTCACTAGAACACACCCGCGAAATCGCAGGCATTTAGAGCGTGGTTGAAAGTATGTAAACAGTTGTAGGATGAATTTTTGTAAAAAATTTTATTACTGGAGAATTTCAGGAAAGGTATCAAAGTCATAGGTACTTGGGGCAGGACAATTTTTTAGCCCTTCCCCTTTTTTCCAAAGTCTGTTATTTTTTGTTTTCTGTTAATTTCAATTATTTTCGCGCTTTTCTGTATACTATGAACACACATATACTATAAATAAAGTGTATTTGCTATTTACTATCAATTCCAAGTTTACTATCCACGGCTCTCAATATAACATATCAGTGACCGCCGTGAATAGTAAACTTGGAATTGATAGTAAATAGCAAATACACTTTATTTATAGTATATATATATGATCATAGTATACAGGAAAACACGAAAATAATTGTCCTCTCCCAGGGCCTAATCTAGGATTTTGAAGAGGGAGAAGTGACTTCTCCTTCCATGAGAGATAAGGGAGAAGTGGTCAATTTCTTGGAGAAGTGAGATTCCATTACCGTCTCGGTTGCATAGTGTTCTCGTGCTTATCACTAAGGAAATTGTTTTATATGCAATGAAAAATATACTTGCAGTTTTTGCATGTTATTGTACAAAATGTATATATAGAAAGTTCTTAATAAAAAGGTTTAGACAATATAGTTGTTATTTATTCATTGATACCATTTGTACTGTCAACTTGAATTTAAGTTTAAATAAAATTTGTTGCTTGGGACATGAGGGATCATGAGGGAATAGCCTAGTAATATTATGATGCATTAAATTCATGTGCATCTACCTCAATTTATTTTTAAATGTCCAGAAAAATATGACTCCCAGTTTACCTGATGAATTTCACATGACTGGGAATTTAATTTATATCATGATCACCACTTGTCATTATTTTGTAAAACATTATTGAATGTCCAGGACATCATGTTACATGTAGTTGTAAATTGAGATTCTAGTTAAAGATTGTAAGCCTATAAGTGAAACTATCTGTCAATCACATATTAATTAACCGATACAGAGCTATTTTCTATCATTTTTTAAAGATATCTTCCCTATCAACGAAATTGTCGTGAAAAAAAATCATCCACTGCTGATCACAGCTGGTCGAGTGTCGTACGTTTGCAATCACATTATCCATCAGCTGTCTTTCTACCTTTTATTTCAATTTTTATTCAATGAATATAATAAATCTACCGTTAATTCCCACCCTTAACCCACCGAATAGTACAATTTGATCGACTCGTAATAAATAAAAATAAAACAAATCAGCTGAATGATTACCACGGTAACATCCTCTGATAAAAATCATCCTAAAATGATAACTTTAACAGACGGTCAGTTTTCCAATTGAATAGTTTTGAATGTTATATCCAAGGATGTTCAAAGTCGCTGTTGTATTTATTTAATTTGATCGTCAACAGTATTAGTCCTGGGTTGTTTCGAAAATCTCGATTTTCCTTGGCAGTAGCCTTTTTTTTTACCTTGGAGACGTGTAATTCACAAGTTGTCTTCCTTTTGCCGATTTTCATAGTGATTTGACTTCGCCATGAAGTCAGTCGGCTGGCGAGATTGAGCGATTTTCAAAATTCTTTGGCGACTTGAATCGTCATTTCGCCAGCAAGATTATGGCCTGCTCTCCTCAAGTACTTATGAAAATTATGTGTAAAAACGGTCCTAATCGGAAGTTTTGTCTATGACTTAAAAGTTCGTCCAATTACGGAAACAATAACAGGACGCCCTTATTTTCTTTTTCCTCCCAAAATAACACAAACTAAATAATTAAAAGCGAGGATGACAAATGCGACTATGCATGGTACCTATAGGACACAGAGAAATGATGATTAATTTATTGTGGAAGGGAGAGAAGCGACACACAAAATGAGGTCTTCTCATTTAATAGTATAGATTATTCAAGTAATTTTTAGGCAGTTAAGCTGCCTTATGCTAGCACCCTAGATTTGTGTTCTTCCTAACGAATGCTGAAAAAAGTGCCATTGTTGTAATCTAGCAGGCTAATATGTTATTTATAACTAATTGGACATTTTTTTCATTCTTTTAATTCTGGAATACAAAAAATATGACCAGAATAACTTTAAATGATCGTCGAACGACGCATAATATTTGAAGTTGCACATAGGAAATAGTGCTCAATAGAAATCCGTACTTAGTTTATTATCCCCTGTGCTTTTGGCTAAGATGGCAAAGAACAATTGTATGAAATATTTCATCGCCGAAAATCTGTAATTACAAGTCGTTTATATTTCCCAAATGGCAAAATGAGCAGGAATATTGTTCATGTACACCAAATCTCTATGATAGAGGGAATAAAGTTATATATAGTACACATGTAGTCTAAGTTGGCGGTAATTTTAACTTACACGAAACGTAAGTTCGTTTGATTCTGATGATATAAAGTCCGATTAAGCGAAAGTACTCTTAATCATGATATTCTTTTAGTTTAAGAAGATTGTGATTATTTAATTGATTTCAATTAAATGTATGCACATTTAAATTCCTTTCTTTTATTAAATTATTCCGTTTATCACTGAACTTGTTGTTATTTTATGAATGAAAAACCGGAAATCGACGTAATCAATGTCGACCAATCAGGTTGATGTTTTAAGAAATGCGGAATAACTCATCCCAGAGACAAGTCGGACCGAGTCCACTCGGACCGTCTAAGAAAACAACTCGGACCCCTTGTCAGATTAACTTAGGGTTTCATAAAATGTAAGACTAACATGTCCAGCGGAGCCATCAATCTTTCGTTTGTGCATTGGGAACTATTTAGGGGTATTTTGAGGGGCCTAAAGAAGGGAGGGGTTTACTGTAGAACCCTATGGGATTTTATTTTCAAATGACTATTTATACTCGAAAACAGTAAGTGATAGACACGCGTGGTCTTCAGTAATGAGAACAAGACAATGAAACAAATCAAATAAAATATAGGGTGAGTCCCTGGGGGTCATCCCACCCCCCTTCAATTTGAAAATGTTCTTTTATCTTGTAAATGGTCGCGATCCCCACCCCTAAACCATATATATACTTGTATGGGACAATAAAACAAATCAAATGAAAATTTGGGGGAATCCCTGGCGTCACCCCACCCCCTTCTGTTTCAGAACTTGTAAACGGTCGATATCCCCACCCCTAAACCATATATATTCATGTATGGGACAATATAACAAATTAAATGAAATATAGGGGGAGT